ATTAATTGTACAATGTGGGATTTAATTTCATGCTATTATCAATTTAATTGTCAGTATAGTCAATTTAGGGTTCTTCTAAGGTGGAATATTGAACTATTGGTTGTAATTGCTAATGTTATTTGAGCTTCTAACGAGCGATTTTGTTGCCAGTATTTTGTTATTTGCTATTTATGTTCAAATTCTTAAGTGAGAAGATAAGTGGGTGAGAAAATTTAATTAATTAGGATGACAATACTCAACTGTTTGTCATATTGAATTATAATTTCGTTGATGTCGTAGTGAAATTCGACTGTACAAGTGTTGAATAAATTACACTTGTACATTCGAATTTCGCTACGTACACTTGTACATTCGAATTTCGCTACGTACACTTGTACATTCGAATTTCGCTACGTACACTTGTATATTTTGGTGGCTCGGGGCAAAATGATAATACTTTTGTTAAATAAATTATTTGTTTTATAATTATAAATATTTATGTAATTTGTTAATTCATAAATAATTTTATGTAATTTGTTAATTACTTCATCCGTTATTTTAATTGCATTATTTACACTTTTCCACTATTCACTCACCTCTTTTGAATATCTTTTGTGATTTATCCGTTACAATATTATATTTTTAAATATCATATTTTTAAATATTTACATAATTTCATGATTAATCAATTTATGACATGGTTATGACACACACAAAATGTGCATAATTACACTTCTACGTTGGAATCCTTCTTTGACTCAACTCATTCTATAAAAGAGTATTAAATTTACTTGTCCCAATCTATAAATGAGTAATAAATAATAATCATGTTTTATAAATAATAAATTTAGCTCTTTCTTATAAAATTGAATTAAGGTTACATTAATTTTTTCTTGTTACTTATAATTAAATAATTACATGATTCAGTTCACTTTTAATAAATGTATCATGTCATAATTAAATTATCACTTCTTATCATGCTGGTAAACAAGTCATTAAATAGAATTTATCAAACAATCTAAAAATCATAATCTTCTTATAATGATGTCACCTCAATTTTCAAAGTATATAAAATACCTAATATGATACTATACGAGTATTAAAAAATTCATACATGCATACATACCAAATAAAATTATGGTGAATAGTCACAACCACTAAAAATCATCTCACTCGAATTCTCCTATATCGTAAGAATAATTATTGTCAAAATAAAATTGCATAATTAAAATATTCTAAGCCTAAAACAAGAAAAAACCTTCTCATGTGAAAAATAAATACTTGTAGGAAAACTTCTGAAACGACTACTATCATCAGTAACACATACACATCTAAATCCCTTCATTTAAAGTGGAATCTCGATTTTGATAACTTTGATATAAATAATTCCTATAAAAAAATAACATTCATTAAGATATCTTTATTTAACTACAATTATAATAAATTCAGACATTTAATGCAAGAAAAATGATCCCTCTATTTTTTAAAGTGCACATCACTTTAATCGGCATAATTTTTAGGAGATTGACTTGAATTCATAAATAATATGCACAAAAAAATTGATACATTGTATAAAATTTCATAGTATCAACTAATTATAATAAATATACGATCAAAATTATTAAAGGTAATTTATGTATCAACAAAAATGTATATTAAAGTGTTTCAATTACTTTAGGATGATTTTTTTTTTTTGACAAAAACTTTAGGATGATTAATTTTGTAGGGTACCCCTCCGTTTCTTTTTATTGGTTATTATCATATTTTAAATACTATTCATAATACTTCCTCCGTTTCTTTTTATTGGTTATGTTTAGATTTTAAACATTATTCATAATACTCCCTCCGTCCCAAAATATATGAGACGTTGGACTTTTTTCACTATTCATGTATTAGTTTTGATCATAATTTTTTACTAACATAATAAAACATATTTTATCATAAAATATGTTGTTAAATAGGTATATATATAAAGTTTCAAAATATAATTTTTAAAATAATTTTCATTAATATTTAATTATATACAAATAAAGTCAAAGTAGTGCATTGACATGTGTGCAATGTTGACTGTGTCATGTATTCTGAGATAGAGAGAGTATTAGATAATCTTCAAATTTACTCACAAAAGTAAAAGAGTCAGGTGAGATTTTGATTCATCTCAATCGTTATAACTTTAAAAAGTATGCAATGAATAATAATCAGATAGGTGTATTGACAAATGTGTAAAAGTCAAAACGTATCTAATAAAAGGGACAAAGGGAGTGTTATACTTTAGATATAGGGTAATTTTGTAAAAATTTAAGAAAATTTTACCAACAACTACCATTATAATGACTACTTTGAGAACAATAACTACCATTTATTTTTTTTTTTATTTTTTTTTAAAAAAAATCTAAAAAAATCTACCACAAAAACCTTGAGTAACACAAGTACATTTTATTTCTTGGCAATAATCTCCAATTGAGGGGGCTAAAAAATCGGCTGTTTCGACGACGAGGGAAGGGAGGAGGGGCGGTTTCATCAACCTGAAAAAGGGAGGGGCTATTTTTGGGATGGGGGAAGGGGGGTGGTTTCGATGGTGTAGGTGGGTCGCCCGAGTGGTTTTAGGGGTAGGGAGGGGCCGACCGGTTGTTATCGGTTGTTAGGGGAGGCGGGCGGTCGAATTTCGGTCAAGCTGGGGGTTAGGGCTAAGGGGAGGAAGGATGGTGGCTGGGAAGGGTTTTTAATTATTTTTTTTCTTGTTTTACAAAAAAAATTTGGACCAATTATGTTGCGACACATCACACATGGCTTTTACAAAATAATATTCACCCTTTAATCGACCTAGTGGAAGAAAATCAACCCAAAAGTTCATAGTGCTCCCTAATAAATATAAGTTGGGATTATTGAGAGTAAATCACTGAAAGTTCGGATTAATAAATTAAAGTGAATTTTTCTAAAAAATAAAACTTAGATTTTGGAAGCACCCAATATAATAGATCGAAAAGCGAAGACAAGTCGAATTCAGGGTTAATTGGAGGATGAAATGGAGTCGTTTGACTCTTGGAATTGCCCTTTTTAATCTCTTTAGTTTTAATAAAAAGGTGTTCCTTTAATGGAAGTGGTGTTACTTATGTTTGTTGGGAGATGTAGCAAAATTTCAATTTCAGATTTACATAAACCCTTGTTGAAGGAGGATGGTAGTAGGTGTTGTTAAACCCATTTGTATGAGAATATATACTCCCCACGTCCCACAATATAGTTTTTGTTTTCCTATTTTAGAGACCCAAAATTTTGTTCCTATTTCTATTTTTGAATAGTATGTAAAGACCATTATACCCTTATTTATTGACTTTATTCATTGAACTTCCTAATTTACCCTTAACTTATCCACTTGCATTGTACTTTTTTCACTTCCTCTCTCTAACTTTTTTCTATAATTGTACTTTTCACTTTTTTCCCCTTAAATTATCCACTTGCCTTGTAATTTTGTCTAGCTTTTTTCTACTTCTCCTCCCATTTCTTAAATTCCGTGAAAAAAACACAATATGAACTATATTATGGGATGGAGGGAGTATAAGATATGGTTTTGTCAGATCGCAAGAAATGTGATTGACATGTATGAAGCATAGATTCCAAGAAAATTTTATCCATTTGAATTATTGGGGTCCCTTAGGGTAAGGCATACTGATTTTTGAGTTGTCTCCGTCATTTCAGCAACATTCATAGACTTTTAGTTGTATGTTAGAAAATACCTTGCACAAGACGAAACATCATCACCATCTTCCCTTATTCTATCAATAGTCCCATCGCATGTTTAAATGTATATTGGTAAGCCTTATATGCGTTGTCATCACTCGTTGTAATAGCTAAAAGGTAAATATCGTTAATGACCTTAATTAGTATTGTGTAAGGGCTTCTTATGCCAATAGTAACTTATGTTACTTTACTATTCTTTCGTTTGTTGTAAACTTAGTTTAATTAATGTAATTTCAGTTTTTTTTTTTTTTTAAAAAAAAAAAAATCTAAAAACTTACAAAGAATTGATACAAGCTTTGGTGTATGGAAATATAAAAAACTAGGTTAGGTCTCGTGCCATGCACGACAATTTTAAGAAATTAATATCAACTTTTCAATATAATTGGTCATTTTACAACAATAAAACAAAAAATCTAAAAATACTATGGACAATCTTTGATTAAAATATGAAAGATAAGTGGATATATCTAATAAGTATAAATTGAATAATTTGATATTCTTAAATACAAAGTAATAAAATCGTCTATTAAGTAATTGAAATATTGATGTGTAGATATTGTATTCAAATATATAATTATACATAGTATCAACATGTTTTGGATGAGGGCAATAAATAATACTGTAGTATTGATCTTCATGAGATTTTTGTGTATGTTTATATTAATATTATGAAGTATAGTCTAACTAATTTTTATATATTAAGGTAGAAAAATAGTAATGTTTCTATAAATAAAATAAAATAATTTAATATAGTAACTCATTTTCACTTAGAGAAGGGAAAGAGCGTGGTTATTATCATTCAAGGGATAGTAAATGTATATGCACTACTCTATTGTGAATTCTAATCAATAAATAAACAACTTTAGGGGAAAAAAAATATAAATACTCTCGTGTAGTAAATCATTATATGTCGCAAATCATATTAATATTTTCTATTATAGTCATAAATGTTTGTGTGAAAAGGTAAATCAAATATTTTATATTTAAAGTAATTATCTTTGTTATTAACATATATAATAAAATATTTTCGTATAAGATTTTATTCTATGATAACTTTTTTTAAAAATAAAATAAAATTAAGGAGATACAAAATTATACGTGTCATTGCTAGTATGTCTTTTAGTATATAATTATATATTATTATTATTATTATTATTGACATTTAAAACATGTTTACTTAAAACCTTTATAAAGTCCACCTATCTCATAATTAAACGATCATATAAAGATCCGCCCCATTTATTTATCAGACCCATATTATAACTATGGCGGGTCATGGCTTTGAAAGGCCTCCATTCCTATTTCCTACCTCTCTGAGTTATTTCATTGAAGCGCACTCAACGTTATCCATTGAAGCGTTCTCAGTTGAATCTAATTCTTGTATCCCCCATTGAAGCAGCTTCTAAGGTAAGTTGTTTGTTGTTATCATCGCATCAATTTCACAAGGGTTTATATTTAATCTAATCTAATTTAATTATCAGTGCTTTAAGTTTAGGGTTCATAAATTCTTAGATTATGAAACATCATAACCAAAAGAAAAGAGAATTATGAGCGTAATTTAATTATTGAATCAATAAATATCCCTAAAATTATGTAGTTTTCGAGATAATTCAATATGAAATTAAATCTCTTTTTCCTGGGCCTAGGGCGGCCGCCCCTCCTGCCCTGCCTCAGGGACGGGCCTGCAAGTGTATAGTTCCTTGATTGACTCTTTCACATTTAGTGGGTTAAGTTAAAAATACTCACAATTGATGTTCAAGTTAAAAGTACCTTCAACTCTTCATTTTGTTCAATGTACCAATTTTCAGATACCCGGCACTCGGTCAAGGGTATGTATTTGTTGCTAGGCACTAGGCAGTTTAATTACATTTATCCTGACATTTCCATTATTTTGAACCACCTATCTTTACTGAAACATGATGAAATGGAGATGGAAGGAGATCAGAAAGTTATTTTAGAGTCTTTAAATGGTTTTGAGATTATAATATTAAAAGGAATCATCAACCTAAAATGTTTGTAAGTATATTTGTAACTTGCAATGCACATATAAAAGATAGAACTTGTTCACACATCTCTGAAGTTTTAAGCTTTGATGTGAATTGTATCATTTTTATGTACCCGACATTCATACCCATTTTTTATTAGCATAGATTAAGACTTTGAGGAAGTATAGAAGGTAAAATGTTTCCATTCAGTGTTTAATGATATAGCCTAAGAAAGTTATCTGATGCCATATGATGGGAATCATGGGATATTGTGAAAGATTTTTTTTATTTTTGGAAAGAAGACATTATTTTGACTTAATGACTGTGTATAGTTATCTTACGGGAGGAGATTATTTAGATAGGGTGAACCAGTCTCTGCGACTCTGCCCTTATTTTCCTCTTTGTGATCGAGGATTGTTTATTAGTATTTGATCAAGCTCTTTTCATATTAGTGTATTGTATATTGCTGTTCTTTCTTTGCTAGGAGTGGAACAAGATGTACCTTGTATATTTGGATAAGATTGTCAAAAGGGTTAGAAGCTTCCCAAAAAGCTACTTTCTCCATTTTGGATGCATTTCCCTAATCTGAAAATTTCATATTAATTGCTCATAATCTTTTCCAGTAATTGTCTCTCTTTATCTCTTTCCTCATCACACGAGCCCGTCTTTTTATCTTCACATGGACTCCTTAATTGTTGTGCCTTTTCCCCATGCAGCGATTAATATAAGCAGGGGAAGTATATTTTTGTAATAGTTGTGAATAGGGTTGAGAGCATGCATAGGAATTTCTCATGGGTTTCTTTTGCCAACAAGAAAGTTACACATATTGAAAAAATCTGTACTAAGAGAATTGGGGGTTTAAATTTTAAATATTTGCACCTTGCCTTATATTATCACAACTGTGAAGCACATTGGGTTTTTGTGTTACATAGGGTACCTCATCAATCAATCAATAAAAGCCTTAATTCCATAAGTGGGATTGGTTAACATGAACCAAGTTTGATTATTCCGTTAAGTCATCGACATAAATCTTCCTCCTCCATCCCTTACGATCCAATGCTTCATCCTCATGCACATCCATACACTTCATATCCTTCCTAACTCCTTCCAACCAAGTCATTTTCGGTCTCCCTCTCCCTCGTTTAACCCCTCCATGGTCCTACTCTTCCACTCTTTGCACCGGTGCACCCTCGGGTCTCCGTCTTACATGCCCAAACCAACGCAGGCGATTTTCCCTTAGTTTATCTACAATGCCTGCCACACCTACTTTCTTGCAAATAACTTCATTTCTGATACTATCTCTTAGAATGTTCCCACACATCCACCTTAACATGCGCATTTCTGTAACCTCCATCTTTTTAATGTGCTCCTTCTTAGAAGCCCAACATTCTGTACCATAGAGCAACACTGGTCTTATGGCACTCCTATCAGCTGAAAGGGAATGCTTCGGTCACATAGCACTCCCGTGGTCGCTCTCCATTTAAGCCACCCCGATTTAATCCTTTGGGCCACGTCTTGATCAATGTCACCATTCTTCTAGATGATCGACCCTAGATACTTAAAACATTCACTCATGGTCAAATCCTTTCCAACTAAACTCACCACTTCATTGCTTGTCCCCCTTTGAGTACCAAAACGATATACCAAATACTCAGTCTTACTCCGACTTAGCTTAAACCCTCTAAATTCCAACCTTTGCCTCCATTGCTCCAACTTAGCATTAATCCCATCCTTAGTTTCATCCACTAAAACGATATCATCTGCGAACAACATACACCATGGAACCTCATTTTGAATTGGGTTAGTTACTTTATCTAGAACCGTTGCAAAAAGAAAAGGGCTTAATGCAGACCCTTGATGCAATCCGATTGTAATAGGGAAATCTTTTGTCAACCCTTCACATGTCCTCACATTTGTTGACACATCCCGATACATATCCTTAACCAGATCCACGTACCTTCGTGGGATACCTTTCTTCAACATTGCCCACTAAAGTACCTCTCTTGGCACCTTGTCATAAGCCTTCTCTAAATCAATAAAGATCATATGGAGATCCTTCTTCTTTACCCTATAAAACTCCATCATTTGTCTTATCAAATGGATTGCTTCCATAGTAGATCTCCCCGGCATAAAACCAAACTGGTTATCCGAAATGCTTGTGCATGCTCTCAACCTATGTTCAATCACCCTTTCCCACAACTTCATAGTGTGGCTCATAAGCTTGATCCCTCGATAATTAGAACAATCTTGAGCGTCTCCTTTGTTTTTATAGACCGTGACCAAGGTGCTCTTCCTCCAATCTTGGGGGATCCTTGTAGTCGTCCATATCTTGTTGAAAAAGTCTGATTAACCAATCAATACCAATCTTACCCAAACACCTCCACACCATTGGTACACCATCAGGGCCAACCGCTTTCTTAGGCTTCATCTTCTTCAGTGCAATCTCCATCTCTACTCTCCTAATCCTCCACACATACTCCATGTTGATTTCTTCATCACACACGGAGGTATCTCCTATCACAACTCCATTACTTCCATTAAACAGTTCATCGAAGTACCCCTTTAACCTATCCTTGATGTCCTCCTCTTGTACTAGGACCATGAGGTAAATAAATCTATGAGATGGATTCAAAGGGGCTATAATAACCTTAAGACCTAATACTGTAAAGAGGGGTTTTCTTGATCCAAGGGAGGTTTTTGCACATTTGCTCAGCTACAAGCTATTTTAGAACCGACATGTAAGGTGGAAGGCTTTTAGGCTTATTTGGGATTCTTTCCTTTTTAAATATAGACTTATGATGTCATATGTGTTTAAATAAGAGTTTCTGACCGGAAGCAGTTTTAGGTGGGTATTTAGATTTATTATAGATAGCAGCTTCTGTAATGCTGTCTGCTGTGAATGTGATGAAAAATGTTGGCACATTACACACCTATTCTATTAGTGTAACTGGTCACTATCATTTTGTCCGTGAAATCAAAGGATGGCTTAAGCTGTTAAGCTTAAATTCTTGGTAGTTGACTTAGAAGCATCTCCAATGTCAAATCTTAGTAAGAAATAGACGTGGGATTAGGTTTAGAAGAAATGTACACTTGTACAGTGTGCTAACAGAAATGGGAAAATTTTCCATATCAGAGTAGTCCTCATATTTTCTTGCAGATATATAAGTTAATTTAAAATCCAGTCTTGGATTGAAGGTGGCTTTGTTTCTGTATGAAGAGGAGAATCGTTGGAATGATGTATGATTTAGGGTCTTCAGTTTTTATTGTTCATGTTCAAATTGTTCTTTCAGGGTATTTTAAGATTGATGCAGGTCTCTTTCTGCTGTCAGTGCTTACATACTTAGTTTTGTTGCAATTTTATACCCAATTATCAGTTAGTAGTATTACTAATGTAAGTCTTCTTTGCTTCTATCGCAGACTCAAATTTTGTTCTATTGATGTTGAAGTTGATGTAATCAATCAGTAAGATGACATCTGTATTGTTTAGAGGGTTGCAAATTCGTCCTCTGTGTATTTATCCATTTTCTCTGTTGACTAAAAAAGCGGGTGTTTTATACTGCACATCTAATAACTTACATACCCAAAGTGTAACAACACAAGATAAACCAAAGTCACAGTCAAAAGTTGTAGCTCGAAACCACAACAAAACACTTGACAAATTATTGACAGACTATGAAGCAATCATTGGTATAGAAACCCATGTGCAGCTCTCCACTGTTACCAAGGCCTTTTGCGGATGTGATTACAATTATGGTTCAGAACCGAACACCAATATTTGCCCTGTTTGCATGGGCTTGCCTGGTGCCTTACCGGTTTTGAATTCCAAAGTGATTGAGTGTGCAGTGAAACTTGGCCTTGCGCTCAATTGCAAGCTGTCCTTAAATTCAAAGTTTGACAGGAAGCAATATTTTTATCCTGATTTGCCGAAGGGGTACCAGATCTCTCAGTTCGATATTCCCATAGCGACTAGTGGCTATATTGACTTGGATCTCCCACTTGAGTATGGTGGTGGACATAGGAAATTTGGAATAACTCGAGTCCATATGGAAGAGGATGCAGGGAAACTACTCCATACAGACGGTGGAAGTCATTCTCAGGTACTTGCTTCATCATTTTTGGGAATCTCATATTTGCTAGCTTGTTACAAGTAAAGATCTCTTATTAAAACAATTCTATGTTTAAAGTAGTATGAGAAATTCCTTGGCACATGTAAATGCTCACTATTCATGGGGTTTTCACTGCAATTTAGTTGGAACATGTAAATACTCACTCTTCACTGGGTTTTCACTGTCTCCCTACTTGCTCAGCCTTGATTTCACTTTTTACCAATAGATTTTGGTCCCGTTCCATCCTAAAATTAGTTAAGAGAATCCTCTCTGTTTCTGGCTCTTTTCAAAGAAATTTTCATTGTCTCATTGGCACAAAATGTTGATGTCATTGTAGGGTATACCAAAATTTTACCAGCCTCTGGAATGTAAAAATTATTGATGAGCAATGCGGGGGTCATGAACATATAAATTTTTATTTATTTATTTATTTATCATTATTTTTTTATTTTTTTTTGAGGTTTTTTGTACTAAACCATGTGATGTGAAGCCAAGTCCAGATTGAAAATTTTCAGTGCATGAGTTACAATGCTCTTTTTAATATATAGATTGCTGGGGTTTAATGCTACTTGCCTTCTGCAGGTTGATTTAAATAGGGCTGGAGTACCTTTACTCGAGATTGTCTCTGAACCTGATATGAGAAGTGGTATAGAAGCTGCAGAATATGGTGCAGAATTGCAGAGATTAGTTAGGTACTTGGGTGTGAGCAATGGTAACATGCAAGAAGGTTCATTGCGCTGTGATGTTAATATATCAGTCCGTCCAAGAGGGCAAGCTGAGTTTGGTACAAAGGTAAAAAAAAATTGGACTCTTTTCCTCACTCTACGTGAGATTCTTAGGTGCCTGATACTCTCTGTGTACGTGCTATTAAAATTATGCATTAGAAGCACAGTATCGCAATTAGTTGGTGATTTTTTTATCATCAAGCTGCTTGGCCCAGGGTTTCAGAATTTGCTCATTAACATACAAAATGCCCAATCGGATCTGTTGACCAAATTTGCGAATCACAATAGATCTTGGTGGGATAGAAAGAAAATATTAATTTCAAAATAGAAAGAGAGTTTTTTTTTTTTTTAAATAGTTTTGAAACATATTTACTCGTAGGTCTGGATAATGAAACATGGTTTTCCTTATCAATTTTATAGTTGTTAATAGCATATAATTAGACCAATTGATTTACATTCCACTAGGATACACGATTCTCATTAACATATTTGTTTCTACATGATTGTCCCGTACTCTTGTATTATAATTGTCAACTGAAATGGAGAGTAAGATATTCATTTTTTATAATTTTTTTTTTTTTTTTTTTTTTTTTGGGGGGGGGGGGGTGGGGGTGGGGGGATGTGTGGGCTTGGTTTGGAATTGATGGAGTAATCACATAATGATATGTACTTTGGGAATTTACATTAAGTTGCCTGTTGATAGACTTGATTATGACACCTGAATCCTGATTAAACAAATTTGACAATGTCTGATAAAATGTTTGATAATTACATTTCTTCAAAAAAAATTATATATAAATGGTTTGATAGGTACATTTTTTAATTATGTTTTTTTTAATCATAGACTGAATTTTTTTCCAAATTTTACTGGCAGGTTGAAATAAAAAATTTGAACTCATTTTCAGCTATAAGTAGGGCCATTGATTATGAGATCACAAGACAAGTGCAACTGCATAACCAAGGACTAGGTGACCAAATTGTACAAGAGACTCGTCTTTGGGAGGATGGTGCTCAGGTTATTGCCGCATGTTGCTCCCCTATTAGTTATTGAATAGAAGTAAGAATGTTATTCATCTGTGTTCTTTTTCTAATCAATTCCTATATCATGTCTCCCTGCTAGAAAACAGTAACTATGAGAAAGAAGGAAGGGCTTGCTGATTACCGGTATTTCCCAGAGCCAGACCTTCCTGAAGTAACTTTGACAAAGGAATATATTGAGGATATTCGTGGTTCTTTGCCAGAAATTCCTGAGTTGAAGAGACGACGGTATGAACAAATGGGATTAAGCATGCAGGATGTGCTTTTTCTCGCCAATGATGTACATGTAAGTTCTCTGATGCATTAATTTCACTACTGAGCTGTTTGTCATTACTTTTGTGAGTCTTCATTAATGGTTTACACCAAATCTAGCTACATCTACTGGTTCTTGATCACTCAAATTGCTTATGTATCAAGATTATCAACATAGATAAGCGGATTAAGTGCACAACAACCTCTGAAGCATGTAATTTCGGATCAATTTTAAATTTTCCTTTCTAGAATTGGGGTTACAATCGAAGTTTTATAAAAAAAAAAGAAGTGCAATGGCTATAACTCAAATTCCTGAAAGATGTAGGCTACACTTCCATTGCTGTAAAACATTGAAGGTATAATAGGAATGTGCAAACTCTCTTATAAGAAAATCACAGGATATACTTCATTAAAATCACACAATCTTCAAGACTATTTTGATTTGCTGGAGTATATCTTCACTGAAATCACAAGGGCATGACATGTACAATTTGCAATGTTTATTAATCTACATACCTAATCTATCTGGCGATTAAAAGGCTCTTTATTTATTTAGTTATTATTTTTATTATGCTTCTCTGTAATTTATCCAAAAGTTTGAAGCATGTAAACTACTCAGAAATCTTATTTTGTACAGTATGTCTAAAGCATTAACTTTCCTTTGATCAATTTTCTGCTGCCTAAAATGTTTATAAATTTCAGTATCTTATCCATTGCTCTTAACGGCCGTAATTCTTATATCTGAATGGGTTCTCAGGTTGCAGAATTTTTTGATGCAACCCTATCTAAAGGTGCTGACATGAAGCTAGCTGCTAACTGGATAATGGGTGATGTTGCAGCATACATGAAGAATGAAAAGGTGTCCATAAATGAGATTAAGCTTACTCCTGATGAGTTGGCTGAATTGATTGATTCTATCAAAACTGGGACAATTAGTGGCAAAATTGGCAAAGAGGTGCGTTTTGTTATGCTGTTAGTGTACCTGTTGGAGCTTGACAGGCTTTTTTCATCACTGCAGAGGACTTTATATAGCATGTCTTGCAGAGTTGCAGCTTTCTCAACAAAATGCCATCAATTCTGCTAACTTGGTTGTTATTTTCACACTTTTTTCTCAGTGATTATGCCAAGAAAACCATGCCCACTTTCTTATCTTCTTCTGTATCAACTTGTCACTTGTCCACTAATATCCAAAAAAATGCAAGTTTCAATGATAATGTCGTAGAAGCGTGGAAGTGAACCTACTGTAATAGAACAATGACCTACTAAAATGCAATGAAGTGATGTATGGGGGAAAGAAACTTTAGGCTTTAGCTTTACAAGTTAGCTATGGGTAGCTTGGGAAAAAAGTTAGGGAGTTAGTTAAGGAAGACATTTATAAACAGAGAAGATTAGGGAGAGGGAAGTCATGTTGAATGTTGATGAGTGTTTTGCACTTTTGCTTATCTCTTAGGTAGTTGATTGGAAGAGAATCAAGCCTCTCGAATGCATTGATATCCTTCTTATTGCTGTATTCCAGTCGTTCATCAATCAGATCATCTTCTTATTCCTTCCTTATCATATTCAACTCTACATTCAGTCCATAGCTATGATAATTCATAGCATATTAGTCCTGCTGAGGTAGGGTTTTCTAGTCATAAACTTTTGGAGAGGCTTTCCAAAAGACCTGCATAGAAGTTTACTTATTGTTTGAAGGGAATCAAATATTGTAAAATCAGTAAATACACATATTGACCTATATGCTACAGTTGAGTCAAAGAGATAATGTATAGAAGTCAAAGTAAAACTATTTAACGGGACCAAAATAAAAAAGAAGTGATAAATCTAATTGGTGATGGGATAATAGATGGGATAGTGAGTTAGTGACAGACAACATACTGATTACCACTTTGATTCAATGGTCCTGTTATTTCCTTTTACTTTTCCAAGTTTGCTAAGTTTAAGGGACGTGAAATTAATGAATTCTAAGATTTCTAACCGAATCTTACCAGGATTTGTATTAGTTGCCTTTGGGCTTTACTCTTACTTTAAGCATATTGATTCTCAAAGTTCTTAATTTTGTCTCTTAAGTATGATGTTGGAATGGAAAGTAATATTTTTTTTCTTGGCCTTTTACTCTGTTATTATTGTGCCCTTTCTGTGGCAAGGAGAGATTAACTGTTCCTTTTTGATAAGAATAAGACTGAATATTAGCCTCAATTAGTGTTGCCTTTTTGGTTATCTCTGATGTTACTCTTATACGCTTTGTATGCCATGTTACTCTTATCTGCTTTGTATGGCGTTACACTTAGGCCGTTTATTGTACTGTAGATACTATTTGAGCTTATAGCCAAAGGAGGAACTGTCAAGGGTCTCATCAAGGAAAAGAATTTGGTCCAGGTAAATAGTTTTGCTTATATGTATAATTTTATTTTGAAATATGTATTTTCTCTTGATCCTTTTTTTTTTTTAAAAAATTTCCTGATGTCTTTGGGGGAGGGTGGGGAGATGATTTTGGAGGTTATGCATTGCATTGTCAGACTGTTTCAGACTGTTCGTTTCTGTGATATGAAACACATTAATCTGGTTTCTTGGTAATTTCATGTTTCCAAGAATTTTATTTTAATCTTACCCTATTGACATTAGAAATTGAGAACTTTGCTTGCCATTTTGATTGCGTACTTTAGTGCATTATCTGATCTTATTACCCTTTGCATATCTTGTGCCACTAGAAAATTGGAAATCCGAAAATGTAGTTTATAATATGAGCTAATTATATGACTGATGTGGTTAGCCAAGCTGCTGGAAAGTTTATCTTTTGAGATTCTGGCTTGATTTGCCTTTACATATTATGTCCTTGAGTTGGTCAATTTGCGTAAAAAGTTACACAAAGATCTAGTATAAGACTGATATATTGTATTAAGATGAATCAAAAGTATCATAGCCAGCTCGCCAAATGAATATTATCCTATCATTCCTATGTCTTGAGTAAAAGCCACCACCATCTATTATACTTTGATAGTAATTAGGTCCCCAAGTAAATAGCATCCTTATTTGTCAACCAGTGTATACACCAATTGTATCATATTGCTTATGATCTGCCCAACACTCTCACAAAAGGGGGAAAATCCAAGAGACGAGTCTCTGGTACTGCTGCTAGATTCACTAATTCAGTGCTCTGTTATATTAAGAGTTAGGTCCAAGAATACTGACTAGAATGCTAGTCTCTACAATTCTGCATGTCATAAACTTAACAAAATAACTTGCTATGATTTACTTCTTGCCTTGATGAACTTGCAGATTACAAATCCAGCTGAGATAGAGCAAATGATTGATAAAGTGCTTTCAGAAAATCCAAAGCAAGTTGAACAATATCGTGGAGGCAAAACAAAGCTGCAAGGTTTCTTTGCTGGCCAGGTATATCATCTTGTGTATTTGATGAAATCTTTATCCTGTTTTTTTAATCATTGGATGGTATTACGTACATTATGAACATTTGGGCTTTGTAAAAACTAGCAGTTCTGGATGTGTAGGTGATGAAAGAATCGAAAGGCAAGGCAAACCCAGGTGTTTTGAACAAGATACTCCTTGAGAAACTCAATGCCAAGAGCTGATGTTTGTACACAGGTATAAGTCAGGCCGTTTTTAGTCAGGCCATTTTTTTACTTTTAGTTTTCAAAATTACACAATACTTTCCACTTTTTGCTCCTTGTAATTGCTTTTAAATCGCAGTTCCCATTTGAGATTTACTATGTTTTCAACTCTGTTAGTGCTAGGAGTATTCTCTCGCTAAAACCATTTCTGAAGATGAATACACAGTGACACAGTAATGGGTGACAGACTTGGTTAATTATGGCTCAGCAAAGAACTATCGTGGGTTCAAGGCATTACCGCAGCCTCTTCTAGTGCGAAACCCTCTAAGTATCTTTAACCTTGAAAGTTTATTGTTACCTTTTTAGATTTTGGTTCTTGTAAAATTGAACAATAAGTCATTCAATTTAAACCAATATATATTGAAGGAATTTCACTTTTGCTCCAGCAAACTTGAGGTATCATAGTTTCTAACTACACTAGATTCAGTTGATGACACGCTAGATCTTCATTTGAGTGTTAATAGTCACTATTATATTAGGAGAATTATGGATTGTTTTCAGGTTCTATAAGCTCAAAATCAGTTACGCAGAATGATCTGTGGTTAATTACTTAATTATATGATACTCCATAATAGCTTGATAAAATGCTCCATTAGACAGTCCTTGACAAAATTAGATACTAATAAGCAACTTTCTACACCAGAATTTGAGCTCATTTCATAGTCGCTTTAAAAATTACTTTGGTTATCAACCGGCTTGCAAAATGTTAAGAAAAAGAAGCATAAATCTAGCTTCTTAACTTGCAATAAACTTTTTCATTCTAAGATGCTCATGACAGATACTCCGTACTATCATGCTTACACATTTGATGCTAGTCTTAAATTGAAATAAATCAAGCAATGCAATTAAATAGAACGATCACATTCCCTACCATATTTCACCCAATTAACATAAAGTATACAGTATTATATCTTCATTGTAATTCATACGAAGTATTAAACAATATTGTATTACGATGTAGTAATGTCATTCCCAACTCATTAGGTGGTAGGCCACGAGATGAAGGACTTTTTACCAAAGTGAGCTAATTTGGCAAAGTATTTACCAAATTGGTCTCGTGACAAAAGTATTTCCCAAACAAAGCTTCTGGTGTAAAACGCTGTCTCGGACAGCGTTTTACACCCAGATTTAAAAAAAAAAAAAATTCAAGAAGTAAAACGCTGTCTTAGACAGCATTTTACTTGTTTGACTTTTGTTGGCCAAACTTCGTATTTAATAATTTATTAAAAAAAAAATACCCCAATACTGTAAAACGCTGCCTGAGGCAGCGTTTATACGTTTAAATGAAACGCTGTCTGAGGCAGCGTTTCTTGCGGGGCATAAACCCAGATTCTGGTGCGTTTTTCACATTCTCACAACCGTATTTTACACTCTTTCTCTCACTAAAGCAACTCTCATTCTCACAAACACCGAACCACCGCTGCTGCCACCGCCGCCCCTGCCGCCGCCCAAGTGAAGGGAAGCTGTTGCTCACTCTCTCTCTCACTCACTCACTCACTCTCTAAATCCAGGTAATCCCTAAATTCGTAGTATAATTTTACATTGAATAGTTGGTAGTTTTTGTATGTTGTAGCAAAATGTGATGTAAATTGTATTAATTTGTTGCTAATTAATAAGGAAAATGTGATAAATTGTTGATAATTGTTGATGATAATGTAGTACATTATTGAAGAACAACGTAGACGAAATTGTTGATGGTAATGTGATACATAATTGACGAAAATAATGTGGTTTATTTTTGATGAAATTGTTGATGGTAATGTGGTTTATTTTTGTGAAAATAATGATGAAATTGTTGATGGTAATGCCGTACTAGTATGTTGATAGTTGTATGCAGTACTAAGAGTTAATGAAATTGGTGATGAAAATGTTGATAGTGAGTGGGCTTGTTTCATTGTTGTCATATTAGCTAAACATGTAGGTTCTTGAAATTTGATATAACTTTCCATTATCAAAGCTATGTATGCTATGCATCGTTAAATTAGGGGTTTTTTTACGTTGTTTTAGCATTCGATTATCCTTAAATGTGTTATGGTTGTTATGTAGAATATGGCTACACAAAATGTAGTGTTGTTATGCCGGTGGGGAGGTGAAATTATGTGCGATGGATCAAATGTTGAGTACAATGGAGGGAACATGGAACTTATAACACTTGAACCGAACATGACTGTGAATGATCTGATGAATGAGGTTCACAGTAGTATTGGCGGGTTGGTAGAAAGGGAGGCTATAGACACACTGTTAACTTCCAGTTGAGAACCTGTACATGCAACAAATTCCTAATATTCCACATTTCATGCTCTCATGTTCTAGCAGTGTGTGCGACTTATTCACTGTTAGAGAGGCCGTGGGTGGACCCTTTCCTGCAATCGGATGCGTATATGAACACGTATGCACCACAGTTCTGGCCTATTTTATGTCAGACCACTTGGACACAGTACGCAGGACCTAGACTCATCCCGGACGACAGCATGGTAAGAGGAAAAGGTCGACCAAAGTCAAAGTGCATATGCAATGAAATGGATGAGACTAGCCGACCTAGGACTAAATGCAGCTGCTGTCACCAACAAGGTCACAACCGCAAGACGTGCCCTGCTAGATCAACCGAAACATAAGCTTGTATTTGTTTTTAGCTATAGTAGTAGAACAGTAGATTCATGTAGTAGATGATTGTTGACGTTATGTAACATTTGTAACGCTTGGATCATGTCTATGTTATATTTCAGATTTGGTGACCTATTTTTCGACTTTGCCTTTTACCTGTGTTAGTCATGTCAATTTCATAATATAGTAATTCTGTTTTTTAATTGGTTTGGCCATATTGTTTTAAATGAACTGATATCATGGCCGGACACGATCGGATACCAGGACCACTTGACCCTTCTGTCCTTACACTGCAGGATAGTCATCGGAGTGTTGACATATAGGAGCAGACGGTAATTTCTCATGTGCCATTTCGTGTGCAGATTTGTCTTGTTTTGATGTATTCTCCAGCATTATTTACGGTTTTTAAATGAATTACCAGGGGGACATAGCGGAAATGTTGGCGTGCAGACACTTAAGGTCTGGCTGGGTAGTCCATCCACGCGTTCTTCAGTACGTCGACTGGGCTGGCTTCGGCGGTATTCATCGCGTGGGCTACAGAGAAATAGATCGAGGGCTTATCAGTGCATTAGTTGAGAGATGGAGACAGGAGACACACTCCTTCCATCTTCCTGTGGGGGAGGCGACTGTCACACTGCGGGACGTCGCGATACTCACACGCCTTCCCATACATGGGAATGCGGTGACAGGGGGCGTGGTGGTTGACCCCGCAGGTTTAGTAGGTCGGGTTCTAGGGGTTCAGCCAGAGCCAAACGAGATCAGGGGCAGCGCGCTGAGGTCGGTACGATATTTCCTTATTGTAGATGACATGGGATCCCTATTTTGTTGTGTTGGTAGAGGCCATGCCGGAACACTTGCTCGAGCATCGTGCTGAGTGGCTTGCCAGGACCCCCATGATCTATTTCGAGGTCGTGGAGAGCCACCTACCGGACCGAGTGTTGCGATAGTTCGGACTTCACCAGCCTATCTCCATGGCATGTGACACTAGTATCCGCCTCCACGGCATTGACCGTCGGGGAAAGTTGGAGACAAACTGGGCACAGGAGCATCATCAATTCATTGAGCTTAGGGACCAGCGGTTGGAGTCCGTCGTTGACGGTCACCTGTTTCAGGGTGTTATGGATCCGCGTGATCCTTACATGGTATGGTATAGGCAGATTACACGCCTTTTCTTCAACCCTACCTACACGCCACCGTCCACGCACTACCATCCAACTTATGATGTTATCAGCGGACTTGTGAGTTTATTTCATTTTCTTGTTTTCCAAAATTATTTGAAATTCTATATCATATTACTAAGTCATGGATGATTATTGCAGGCGGGGGATATGGGTGCGATGGTTGATGCACTTTCAGATGCCTTAGCAGCTGTACCCACCAGAGCCCAAGTCGAGCGGGTGCGAGATATGGGCATACATAGCTTGCAGAGATATGGCCATGGCCATCTCGTCCACCCTAGGGACGATCATGACCCCAACTCCTTCCATTCACAGTTCGATCGGACAGAGCTGTGGCGCAGGTGGTTACCATTCACAGTTCGACTTTGGACAGAGCAGTGGTGGAGGTGATACTTCGGGCTCTACACAGGCAGAGGATTACTTCATCCATAACACCGCTCTCGGCCATACCCAGGATGACTCATCGTCTTGCTAGCTGACTCCACCGTCCCGAGACCCATTCACCACCATTCGGCATTACAACAGGCGTCCGAGGCGTGTTCGTAGACGGACGGAGGACACACAGGATGGAGATCAGTTAACTCCAATACATGAGTCCGGATAATATTAGTTAGTTGATGTTTTTGTGGTACTCAGATATCTAACAATGTAGTATATAACGCTTACATTATTAATACAAGAAATGTTTTTTAAATGACTCTCTGTACAATTTGAAGTTTATTTCCCTTATTTGTCCGAATTTGAATTTTGTCAGTAAAACTAGATCTTTCATCGCCTTATATATATCAAACAACATATATTTGGTCAGCTGCACTTAAAGTGCTGTTTCACGATAGTTGTAGTGCTGTTGGGGTTGTTTCCAGTGTTTGATGGTTGTCGGTGGTGGTCAAGGTTGGTGGAAAGGTTGGGACTGGTGGTGGGAATGCTCTTGCATTGTTTAGAGTGCTTTGGATTGCGTAGGGGTGGTCGAGAGTGGCGGCCGGTGGTGGTGGGGGAGGTGGTTGATGGTGGGGCTGAGGCTGAGGCTGCTGGTGAGGGTGATGTGTAGGGGCAGCAGCAGATGGCAGGAACAACAGCAGATGGCAGAAACAGGAGCTGGCTGCTGGTGATGCAGTCCAACAGAAAAACGCTGCCTGATGGTCCACATACATACAATACGTGTATTCCATTATTTTTTTCCAAAATACATACCAACAAGTCAACTACCATAAAACGCTGTTTGAGATAGCGTTTTATGTCTTGAATTTTTTTAACAAAAATTCTGGGTGTAAAACGTTGTCCGAGACAGCATTTCACCCCATAAGCTTAGTTTGGGAAATACTTTCACCACGAGACCAATTTGGTAATTACTTTGCCATTAAAGCTCACTTTGGTAAAAAGTCCCGAGATGAATGTAAAATGGAGGGGTTTTTTTTTAAGGAAAAAAATATATACTTGTTTTTATTTAATCATTAGTTTAGTTTATTTACACACTATTGTTGTATTATTTAGGGATGAGCAAAATTATCCGAAAAACCCGAAAATTTGAACCGTAACCGATCCGAAAATTAGGGTATCCGATCTGATAACCATAATGGTTCGGGTATCCGATCCGATAATTTCTTATCGGGTATGGTTATTGGGTATCATTTTAAAATTAACGGTTATCCGATCTGATAAGCAAGTTTTTCAATTTTTTTCCTACTTAAATCTATTTATCCAAAATCTAAACTCTTACTTTACTTCATAATCACTTCATAATTTGAATGGTTAGTAATATTATTAATAATTTGGTCAACATCATATGGTATTATTGTTAATTAGTGTTAAATGATATCATAATAACTAAATTATAAAGTCTAAATTTTCATTATTGGATATCATATTAGGTACCCGATAACCGATCCGAAAATCCGGGTATCCGAAGTTTAGGTACCCGAACTTATTGGTTCGGTTCATTGATATCATTTTTAGTGTTATTGGTTATCGATTACCTGAACCGATAATGTTAATGGTACGAATACCTGACCTATGATCACCCCTAGTATTATATACACCTTATCTTTTTATTGTCCTATAATTCTCTGATTATGGATTCTTCTTACAATCATTAACGAGTGTATGATCTATAAACCCCAAAACCAGATTTATTTACACTATTGAAATAGGAGCCTATTAAAACTTTAGGTCCAAAACAGTGATCAGCGTCAATTACCAAGAGCAAGGCAGGTAATTTATCACAGTAATTTCTTACAATAAATGAACCCCTCCATCCTCTCCTTAAGAAAAAATAATTTCTTTTTACATAAAAAAAAATAAAAAAATGCAAGAAATAAATACTACTCCTCTCTAAAAAATAGTTGAAGCAAGTCAGAAACAAAATTAAAAGCAGCCCAGCTGAGGCATTCTTTTGCTCTGACTTTGACCAATAATCTTACCATTTTTGCAATCTGTAGCTTACTTTCAGGTATTTTTTTGGTCCAATTTTATTTTTATCTTACCATTTTTTTGCAAGATTATATCTTTATAGCTTACTTCAATTCCAACCAACTCCTTTATCTGGGGTTGTTTAATTTCACCTTTTCTTTGATTGGGTATATTCTATTTTCTTCATATTTACTCAATTTGGTAAGATTTACAGATCGTTAGATAGTCATTGTGAAACTGTTACTAATCAGCACTTTGGAATTCAGAATGGAACAAATAGAGTTGGGTAAAAGGAGGCGTCCGATGCATGAACAGACCGAAGGTAAATTCGACGTGGAACAAGAAATTGTAAGTTTGTAAAAGTTTAATTGAAAATTTAATTTTTGAATATGGAAATTATAATCATGAATTTTAAATTATATTAAAGGTACCAAAAATTAAATGTTGAATGAGAAGTTGGAATTGAAGTTATAATTGTGAAATGTAATTTTGGATTTTACATGGTATTTGTAATTGCAGATTGGACCAAGTGGAAATGGAATTGTTCACAACACAATTGATTTACATCCTGGACTATTTACGGTAATGCTATTTGGTTTTTTGAGTTCAACCGCACTGTATTTTGGGTAGTTGTGTTACAAAAAAAGCTGACGTAGTTGATGAATTGTAGGATAACTCGCTAAGTGTGGGTGGTTATGTGAAAGCATGAGGGCAAGTGATTAATCAATATTCTGTTGCAATGCGCAGAGTGAGTTACATGCTTTGAGTGTAAATATTTAGATGGAGTTTATGTTTTTTTTGTTTGTGTAAATGTACCCTAATGTATCCATCTTTTATAATCAATGGCAGCCCCCTAATATGAACTGTCGGGTTGAGTCATTTGGAAGAATATGCCAGAAATTTGATGAAAGGAGGACAAGATGGTGTATGTGAGATGAGATTTGGTGGACTACTACATTTGGCTTCCCATATGCATCTTCCCCGACAGTTAGTTTACTGGATAATGACGCGTATTGATCCAATTAATAGGTGCTTAATTGGTACAAATGATCAGTCGTTTCAGTTTTCCAAGAACCAAGTGCATTGGATTTTAGGATTCCCCCTTGGGGGAAAAAAAGTTCCTACAAACAAGCAATTGTTCGGGGAAGTTCGTTTGAAGGTGCAAACAATATTATTAAAGTATGGAAGATCATGGGACACCAAACCAACAATGTGGTCGGACATACACTTCAGTTGGCATTCCTCTTACACTACAGATGATGGATAGATTGGAGGGACATTTTGAGGCGCATGAGGAAGAAGAATTCAAAACGTTATTCCTAATCATTGCCCTTCAAATGATATTATGCCCTAGACTGGCATCTGACTTGTTACCGGCGTTGAGTTGCTCTATGGATTGCACAAACTATGATTGGTGTCAACTGGTTTTGTCAAAATTCATAGAGAGTGTGTCAAGTTTTGCACGACGTTTTTATGCAAATGGGTTTGCCGGTGGATGCGGTGGATGTGCAATATTTGCTGTAGTGAGTATCTAATTTCTTTGGTGGTGATTATGATATCTTCAAAAATGTTGTGAATACACTTTGATCTTTCCTATATGTAACAGCATTATTGCCCTTCGTTGCAGATATTCTATCTGGATCGCCTTGATTTGGGTCCTAATGAATGGGATATATATCCTCGAGTTAAGGCATGGAGCATGGAGTGCATTGGATATGCGGGGAAGCTAGACCGAACTATATCTGGTGACTATGGAAAAATCGGGGTAAATATAGTGAATTACCATGTTTTTAATATCTCAGTTTTATCGTCACTTGTCACACCTATTTTCATTATAATTTTGAAGTTGATAGATGTTGCATATGGCGAAAGACACCCTAAGGTAGTTAGGGACACATTTGGACCCCTGGAATCTCCAATGTATAACGTGAGTGTTGTTATGACTAGAAATATTGATGAGCTTCATCAGTACCAATATTTTTATACTAATTGAAATGCTATGTAGGATGTTTCGGAGCTTCCTGTCGGTAGAACTAGAGGTAGGCGAAGACGTCCGGACTTATTTGCTTTACGATGGGGTACGAAGCAAGTATATGAGGATACTATCACCCCCCTATACATTGAAGAATCCACCAGTACTGATGGTGTGTTGGAAAATTCAGCAACCAGTTGATTTATAATGAAACACTTTGGTTAACATGTAGTACTATTTATGCACTTTTTATCATACAACTTAATATTGTACTTTCATTTCAATGCAATCATTAAGACCTGGTATTGTGAACTATGAAATCGTTGTGTGAGTTTTACATAACCTGTGTTTGAATGTCATGGTTTTAAAGTGACCTTGCATTGGATATAGATCAAAGGGGAGTGAGATAGAGATCAATATATCTTATGATTAGCAAGAGTTTTGAGAGCATGCACCATGTACGTATAGGTAAATCTAATTTATAGCTAAATATTATTTATATACCAGTTGATCTGAAGATTTAAAAAAAAAGTAATGGATTTTGTGACCAACTTTCCATGTTGCATAGATGTCAATCATGTCATCAGGACACTTATAAAAGAACTTGCTTTGTATGCATTTTTACTCTAGCTCTTTTTTTTTTTTTTTTTTTTTTTTTTTTTTTTTCAAATGTGATTATTTAATAAAACAACTTTATATACTCGTAATTTCATAAGAAGCTCCTTAATATTTTATATTTCATGTTATTTTTCTGTACCACAAATTTATACTCCGTAGTTGTTATAAAAGAATTATTGATTTGCAATGTAGTGAAAAAAGGCAAAGGAAAATCAGTATTTAGTTATCTCTTTATTTGTATTATAGGACATTTTTGTTATTCCATTCCTGATTACTTACCAACAATAGAACAAAAATTTTTCAGGTTATATCAATATTTTGTCGAAGGTTATTTAATGTTACAATGTAGAGTAGGTCATATAAGGCTAATATTGACTTGAGAAAGAAGACATGAATAGTGAAGTAACATGTTATCATTGACTACTACTGTAAATTAATGTAGAGTGAACATAAAGCTCATGTATTTTGACAATAAGTTTTTCAAGCATCACTAATATGCTTTGAGTGATGCAACACGGCTCAGTCAGTGATGAATTAATGTAATTATTAAACCACACTCAAACACGTCTTCCGGAAACTGGACATCAAGTTAGGTTTGATATACATAGAGAGTCATAGAGATAATGAGATATGGAAAACAAAATGGCTATTCCGTATATGTCTTGTTTTTATTTTTATTGTTTATTACTTCCTCCCTTCTTTTTTATTTGACCCGCTTTAACTTTTACACTATTTACCACCTCTCCTTTAACCGTCTTTTTTGAATAATAGGTAAGGAAAAACATATTCATATGGGATCTTTATAAATTCGTCTCAATTAGTAATATTATAATGTATAACTTTTATAATTTTTACTTATGGAAAAGTAAAGTTATTGTTTGCTAAGGTTTTGCACTAACAAGCGTGATAAAAGAAACAGGTCAAGTAAAAAAAAATAGAGGAAATATTTCATATATACATTATTTTTTTTTTCTTTTATTATCAACATCAAGGAATATTTTTTTTTCTTATAAAAATGATGAAGGTAAAAAAATTACCCACTTATTTATTATTTTCTATTTTTTTTAACACTTATGTTTGTAAGTCGTATTTTTCAATTTTCGTCAACATCAATATTAAACTTTTATAAGTCTAATGTAAGCACCCCGTTTCTTCAGTTTTCCGGCTTTTCCCACATTAGGTAGCTACTACCCTCATAGTTTCATTAAATTGCACGTATTCATGTACAATAAAGCATTCAATGGGGATGATCTAATAATCGTTTTATTTACCTCGTTGTACTCATTTAAGGTTATCGCACGGGTTAATAATTTTGTTTATAACATTTAAATGTAAAAATGTTCTAAGTTTAATTTATAGTATACTTTAAATAGTTGAATCGAATTTATATTGCGTATACATTATATTACTGGTACGAAAAATTATAGAATTTAAATTGTTGATTTGGATTTATATTTGGACGGACAATTATATGGTTCATAATTTTGATTAAATTATATATAAAAAATTATAGTAATCAAAGATGGACAATATAATTGCTCCATTCCGATCCACCCTTTTGTACCATAATGTAACGTGATTCGTTATATGAAACTCCAAATGTCTCATATGATCCAACATCATATGAGCGCCCTAAAGTCGTATAACATGTTATTATGCGTCCAAAATTGAATAAAAGGTTTGTTGTTTAGGATTAATTAATTTTGCGAGGGAAGTCAAGGGTTCGACTCCTTTTCTTAGCCACTAGCTGTACTTTACTCCTTATTTTTAATTTTTTTTACCGAACTAATGTTTTACTCCTTATTCTCTTACTATACTCTTTTTTGGACAGAAACCTAGAGTGCTTTTTTTTTTTTTTTTTTCCTTTTCCTTTTCCATTTAACGTATCTTTGTTGCTCTCTCATTCTAATGACTAATCTCTTTATTTATCTTAATTTCTTACACAAAATTACACCAAATTTTCTATTTCTCATATTCACTAGTACAATTGGCAAATATAGTCTATAAATTTAATTGATATAGTTTTTAAACACAAGTTGCTGAAAATTTATGAAAATATATTTTGCTATATTTTAGAAGAGATCGATAATTGGCCTTGAAAGTACTACTAGTATTGTAAATGAAATTGTATTAAAATATGTAGCAGCAATTCCTGATTACATAAGAAATTTTGAACAATGACTTAGAACCCGTTCTCTTTAGCTTAAATTCAATTCAGTTCAGCTCCAATCAGTTCAGTTGAGTTTCTAATTTCCTTCTTTCATAAACAATTCAGTTCAGTTCAGTAAATCAGAACATACCCTTACTTTTGAATGGTCTTTAAACCACCAACTACTCCGTCCAATATAAATGAGTACATTAAAAAAATAATAATAAACATAGAGATAGTGTATGATCTAAAACCCCATCCGGCCATTCTCCCTAATCCAAATTTAATTACACTATTGAATTACGAGCCGATTATAACTTTAGGTCCAAAATTGTGATCAACTTCCAAAGAGTAAGGCAAGTAATTTACCACAATAATTTCTTACAATAAATGAACCCCTCCAATCCTCCATCCTACCCCAAGAAAAAATAATTTCTTTTTACACACAAAAAAATATAAAAATGCAAGAAATAAATACCTCTGAAAATTAGTTGAAGCAAGTCAAGAAAAAGAAAATTAATAATAATTAAAAGCCAGAAGCAACCCAGCTGAGGCAATCTTTTGCTCTGACTTTGAGCTATAGGGGTGAAACAGAAAGTCACCAAAATCTTACCATTTTTGCAATCTATAGCTTACTTTCAGGTACTTTTTTTGTTTAAATTTCATTTATATCTTACCATTTTTTTTGCAAGATTATATCTTTATAGCTTATAATTACTTCCAAGCAACTTCATTATCTGGGGTTGTTCACTTTTAGCTTTTCTTTGATAGGGTATCTTCTGTTTTCTTCATACTTGTATTTCTGTTTTTGATCTGACATTTTTCAGATTGATTTACTTACTGTGTTTATTATGTGTTGCATGTTTGATAATCCTCCTTAATCATCCACTATGAATTGGGCTTTTGTTGTCTGTTCCTAACTATTCTCTTGATTTTGCTGTCTTTTTTAACATCTTGTTTTGATTGTAATGGATGTCTTGTGCATTGAGCTATCTAATCCCTCTATTTTATTCCCTTCGTTCCAAATTGTTGTGCTAATTTCTCATTTTTCACGGAAATTAAGAAAAGTAGAGGACGTGTAAAATCACGTGTGAAGTAAATTGGGAATAATCACAAAAAGTACCACAATATTGTTTTCTAGTAGAGCAAGAATAAAAGTGCACTTTATTAGTTTGTACTTATTAAATGTGAACACCAACTTTGAAGAGTATTTAGGAGATATTAGTGTGAGGAAAGGTAAAAAGTGGGGGTATAAAGTTAATTTTGCCCGAAATAAAGATTAATCTACCAATCTACGCATTCCAAATTGATGGTACATAACCATGAGACATGTGTTTGTTTGAAGAAACAAATCACATCAAATTCTACCTCCGATATAAATAAAGTTTGATATGAATATTATTCCAGCAAAACAAGTTAGATTCGTAATTGGGGTGGATCGGCTATAGACCTTAAGAAATGCGACATGTTTTCATTCTTAATCGACCTAAATTACACATATGGTGTGTATAGGGGAGAAAATTCTTAAACCTTCTAGTTATCCTAGCCTAAGTAAAGAATAATTGTCCTGCTTGATTAATGTTTATTTTTTGATTGTTGATATTATGAGCCTTTAAATTTACTGTTACAGAAATGAGTGACGAATTAGAACCACTACAAAATAATGAGCAAGTAGTAGCTGAACCAGAGTCTGATCATGCAGTTGAACTTGAACCTGACCATGAACCCAAAGTTGATCCTGTACCAGAACTTGGAGTTGAACTTAAACCTGAACGTGAACCCGAACCTGTTCCTACAGATTCCTGCCAGGATGTTGATATCGAGCCACTTTCAGGAAAGCCTTACTTTCCTATAGTTATTGTGAAATCACATATCGGCCTTGTTGCTTATAAATATCAAGTGGTATGCTTTCTTATTAACTTTTCATGTATCATCTGATCTGTTAAAATTTTAGGAACAGAAAGCTTTAATTTACACTCATGTCATGAAACTTTGTGTCGAAATAACATGATACATATATGTACACTACGCCACAGCACAACTCCTAGCACATATGACATATTCTAGGTGCTTTAGAAGAATGACTAATGTCTTTCAATTCTTTGATGATACCAGATATTACCTATACAATTTTCTCAAGCCCTTCCCAACAAAACAATCCCGGTCATCTTAACTCGTGGTGGAAAAAGTTGGGAGACAACTTATTTAGGTGAAAATGCACCGTCTTACAAAAGGTTCGACTCTAGGTGGAGAGCATTTGCTGAGGACAACAATCTAAAGGTTGGAGATGTTTGTGTTTTCGAGCTCGTGGAACAAAGTGATACTTTGCTCAAGTTCAAGGTTCAGGTCCTTCAAGGCGACTTTCCATCTATGTTACTAAACAAGGAAGATGGTACCATCAACAATCCCATAGTTGTTGAATAAAATTAGTCATGCTTCTTTCTCTAGTATGATTTGCTAGGTTGTTTATTAGTAAGTAGTCTTTTGTTAGCTTGTTTATGCAATAGCTGTGCTATTTTACATATAGCTTGGTATAGCGTATGACCTCTCCGTTCATGTGGTTTTTGTCTCACTGGCTCAAGCAAAAATTGTAATATATAGCTGCTATGTATAATTGTATACAAGTTAGAATGGAAGTACGCGTAACGAGCAGGGTTTTGTTTTGAAAAAGGGTTAATGGATTTCATTTGCTTCTTAAGCCTGAAATAGTGAAAGCCATAGGGCAAAAAAAAAAGGGCAAAATGATGTAGACGGCAAAATTTTAACCAACTAAGCTACTTGATCATCCATAAGCAAAGAATTTACTATGACTAAAATAAAGTAAGGTGTTACATTAGTGTTTATTATTTATTTTTCCTCTCTAAATCTTTATATTAGAAAGCTGACAAAAATAAATCCATAGAAATTAGGGAAAAAAAACTGTTATATCTTGTAAGAGAGGAAATAATGAAGATTTTATTATTTTCCAAATGATGTATTAGACCCAAATTTTTCGTAAATATTGCTCATTATCAATTATATAATTATCATGGTTCAATAAAAAAAAAAATTATTACTATAGAAAACTATGAATTTCTTAAGTGCACCAGAAAAAAAAGACCCTATGAATTTCTTAATGTATGGCCATGGTATGCGTACAAAATAAAATAAAAACCTTAATTTGAAGCCCAATAAAGAATAAAAAAGACTAATTAAGCTACAACTACAGTAAGAAGGGAAATTGCAAAGTTATCTTAAATGTACTCTAACAACCTATTTTACTCCGTAATAAACATAAACTCCTACTACAACATAAATTAGGATATCATGAATGTTTATATACGAGTATATCAAAATTATATGACGAATAGTGGGATATCTTTAGACTTTTTTCCTTTAGCTTAATCTAGTCTAGGAATATAGAGAAATCCTTGAAATTTTACATACAGTAAAATTTTCAATTGTCTTTAACCCTTGAAATTTTAGCTTTAGCTTTAGCCATGGCAAACGAGAGTTGTATAGAATTACAATTGGAAAATCTAACCGATGAGATGTTGATTGAAATCCTTATTCGACTACCATGGCAATCAACCCGTCGATTTAAGTGCGTCTCCAAGCGTTGGATGTCATTGTGTTAGAGATATCATTCTGTTAGAGATATGAGATATCGGAAAATATAGATATCGGAAAATATATGTGTGATATATTTTCCGTAGATATCATTAAGAGAATAATATATTTAGGTTTATTTATGTTAAAGATATTAATTAGATAATATATCTTTAGGTTTATAGTTATGTTAGTATATCTTTTAGGAAGATTGTTTCCTATCTTATGAGCGTATGTTTTGTATAAATACTTTACCTATTGATGAATAATAAACAAGTCATTCCATTATCACTCTTCCCCTAAATTTGTCATGGTATCAAAAGAAGGTTAGATCTTGGGAGCGTTTCACAAAAATTTCCCCCAGTCGGTGGGTTAGAAAATTAAACCCACGGGATTCATTATTTTTTTTTTAAAAACAAAATAAAAAAAATATATTAAAAAAAAAATCTTCCGTTGTGCTAGTGTCTTTGAGATATCTCTTTGATATTCTTTTTGATGCAATAATAACGCATAGATGTTGTTTATGGTGGATCATGGTGCTCCGCTAGTGTCTTTGAGATATCTCTTTGATATTCTTTTTGATGCAATAATCACGCATAGATGTTGTTTATGGTGGATCATGGTGCTCTGCCAAGATAAAACTAAGCGCATCATGCTTGGAGTTACAAGAAAAAAAAATGGCAAACATTAAAAAAAAAAAAAAGCCCTCTTGTGTCGTGAGACAAGATATATTGATTTTCCTTTTACCGTGAAACAGGGTTTATTTGTTGGTTCTTCTTGTGCCGTGAGACGGAGTTTGTGATTTGATTCGAGCATGATTTTGCTCCTTTTGATATGAGTTTGGTTTTGCTCTAAAATAAAACCAATAAGAGATTTGAGTGTGGTTTGCTCTTAACAACCAATATTTGATTGGAGCTCGTTTTTGCTTAGGAAAAACTCAGGAAAAACCAAATTGTTCGAAAAGAATGACGTTCTTGCTTGATTGATGACTGGTGAGTACGAAAAATATGAACGGTCTTATCATTGAAAAAGAAAAAAAATAAACGACATCACCATAGTAGTGCATCTCGACTTCAACCAAAAGAAAAATTTACCATCGCAACTTTCGTATTATTGCCGTTACGATTGTTGGAGGGTGTTAGAGATATGAGATTTCGAAAAATATGTGTGATATATTTTCCTTAGATATCATTAAGAGAATAATATATATATGTTTATTTAAGTTAAAGATATTAATTAGATAATATATCTTTAGGTTTATGATTATGTTAGTATATCTTTTAGGAAGATTGTTTCCTATTTATGAGCGTATGTTTTGTATAAATACTCTTCATATTGATGAATAATAAACCAGCCATTTCATTATCACTCTTCCCCTAAATTTGTCACATTGATATCGAATCCATACGTTGTGCACCGGTTTCGCCATCATAATAATAATGGTAAGGTTAATAATAACTTGCTTGTACTTGTTACAGGAACTAGGAAAGTAATGTTTGGTGAAAATTTAACCATTCAAATACAAAAAGTTTTTCCAAGTTCGAAATCTTCTCTTAAAGACTTGATTCCAATTTCATTCGATTTCTTGCACAAGAAAGTCGAGGAATTTAATTTGTTAAGTGTGTCGAAAAGACTTGTATATGATCCATGACGAGAAACTTAATCTTTTGATATGTAATCCCTCGACAAAGCAGTCCTTCGAACTTCCTTGTCGAAGGAACTTCGATAAAAAAAAAGCTCCTTTTATTGGCATCCTTTGTAGCGAGGATGATCCGGCGATATACAAGGTGGTTATTGGTCGATCTGTTGATGTCGAAAACATTCATTATAGTATCAAATTTGATGTCTTCTCATCTGATAGTGGCTGTTGGAGTAGCTTTGTGGTTCCGGTCCCCTCAAACTATAATCGAGTAATGAGTTATTATAGTCAGAATCAACCTGCTGTGATATGTAACGGCTGTTGGACTTATAGCACGCTTAGTGTAGTTGTATACGATCCTTTCAACAAGCCTGACCAATGCGACTTCATCAAATTTTCAGACGAATATTTTGATGACGAGGATGATTATATACACTTCTATGACAGCTTTTGCCTAAGCAATGTACAAGGGTGCATACGACTATACAATACACGCGTTTATGATAGAGATTCAATTGCAATCTTTTTGGGACTAAAATAATCATGTTTGGAACGATAAAAAGTTCAATCTTAGTAGTGTTAATCTTGGTAGTATGGCCGTTTCCTCTTGTTATATATAGGAAATACAGTATGCAAGTTAAAGGTTTTGATCCTTTCGACGGAGATGTTGTCTATGCACACGCTTTAACATCAGGCCATTTTCTTGTAATCGACATGAAATCTTTAACGGCACATACTATCGACGATTTAAGTCGTCCATTTCCTTCGATCATAAACTTATTTCCTTATTCCCAACTCCCATGGCCAACTCCGATTTAAGTTAGCCCTTCACTTTTAAGGAGTCTTTGATTAAATATTTTAATGTATGACTATATTATAGGTTCTTTTGTTTCCATTTGAATTGTTTCCACTTGAATAAGAATGTAGTCTCTTTTTTTTTATTAATTTGTTGTTTTATCAATTCCAAAATTATAATCTGAATTAGTATGAGTGTATTATATTATGTATGATTACTAGTCTCGCCATCTCAAATGTTTATGCACGAAGTAGGCTTTACTTGCTTATACATGGATATCCAAATTATATTACTCCGTATGTTTCATTATCACTCTCTCCGTCTCTAAATAATGTTGCTACTATGACTTATGAACAACATTTAGTGACAGAAAGAACATATTTACCAGCTTAATTAATTAATTACGATATCCCCTCGTCATACTTTCTCACTTCATTCTATGATCCCTTGAACCCTTCTTATATCTTTCAATTCCCCAAATTCATTATTGTCAATTGCATCAATCCATACAACCATATTTCTGCAAATCAAAAGATTGACCTGAACGTTTTCCAATTCTAGCTAGATGTCATGTTATAGACTTATAGGTTGTAATAATTGATCCACTACTTATTGTCAATTGCATCAATCCATCTCTTACGTTACATGATAATAAATACTCCAGTCCTTATACTTCATGCATCTTGTACACTCCTCAGTGTGACCAATCATAACTTGAAACCTATGCTCCTAAACATCTGGCAAATAGTACTTTTTTTTTAGCTCTACTAGAAGCTTAATTAGCTTGCACTTGGGGTCGCAATCTCTCTCACTCTCCTATATAAAAGAGGTTACTAGTAGGCAAAACAAACACGAGTACATAAAATGAGTGCATTTTATCTCAAACATACGAGTTCATACAAGTCCTTGAGCAGTGAGGCATATTACGGGCCTGTTCCAGAGTTTGGCTTCTCGGCCAAGTGAGGTAACTAAGGCGGCCAAGGCAGCACATTCGTGAGCCGTGACTATGTCGAACCGAGCTATGTCGTAAGTCTTAAGTTTACAACTTTACACCATATTTAATTTTAATAATTAAATACGGAGAGTTTAATTAACCAATTAATTTTATAGTTTATGTTTATCATAGTATTGTATGGATTGTTAATGTGTTTTAGAGAGATGAAACCAAGAGCGAATACTTGTGAGGATATTGATATCGAACCGAAGACAGGAGCACCATTCTTCCATGTCAATCTTACTAAGACGCATGTTTCTCCTCTCTATCTACTGGTATGTTTTTTCCTTCATCTCTTTCAATTTATAAGAATATAGGTAGATAAAAAATATGATGCATTTTATTACGTTATTGAAAAGTTTCTTTGATTACATCAATATCAGACAATACCGGCTGAAGGTGCTCGACTCCTTCCTAACATCGAAGCCCCGGTGATCCTCACTCGTGGCACTGAGAGTTGGACGATGAATTACATCGGTAATAATATAGTACATAAAAGGTTGGATAAAAGATGGAAACAGTTTGCTGTTGACAACAAACTTAAGGTAGGAGATGTTTGTACTTTCGAGCTCACGTCGAAAGATCCAATGAGGTTGAAGGTTCAAGTCCTTCGAGGTGACTTTCCAGCTGCTCTACTCAATAGCGATGAAGAAGAAGACGAACAAGGAAAAGAAGTCAAAGAAGAAGAAGAAAAAGAAGAAGGAGAAACAAGCTATAATCCTATAGTTGTTGAGTAAGAAAACTATTACAGGTTCAACCAGTATTAATTTATAAGGTTTAGTTTTAAATTTAGTTTGTAGAATAATTTTGATGTTTATAGGGAGCACTGAAGTATGTATTTCGAATCAAGATGAGATTTTGAGTCCGAAAACGAGGCAATGTTCTTATTAGGCTAGTTGATTATTAATAGTAGTAACATAATTATTAACTAAAGTAATCATATTATATTATGCTGATATTAATAATATACTGATAATTATCTCGGATTAACTGATCCTCGCTAGTATGCATTTATAATGTACTGCATTCTCCGAGTTTAAAAAACAGAGCATGCAGTTTGTGGGTGCTAGATTTATCGTTTAACAACAATTGGTGTCTGCAGTTCTATAAATAGTACTGTAATAACTTTTTTTTTTTTTTTTTTTTTTTTTTTTTGAGGGGTTATAAGTTATTCATGGGAGTAAGTTCAAATTAAGAGACAAGTTATCAACCCTTAAAATGCTAACTAAATCAGATTATGGCCTGAGTTATTCATACTTAGTCGTCATCCCTGCGTTTAGTTGACTGAAAAGTTAAGACTCATCAAGGATCATCCAAATGAGATTACCCCCCATTTATATAATTTAAAGTGTCTCTTTGGATCATAAAGAGCATGAAATCACAGCCTTATTACACCATTAAAGAGTAACAAATAACAAAAAACTTCCAAGGTTGACGATAAGAGCTCGAGTACTTAATCAGGAAGCATCAGCAATTAGATCTCTATCACCTTCGAGACTGATCACAATTTTTATGGACAAATCATCCTTCAAATGATCTTTGTAACACGAAAGTTATAATTATCACAAACTTTTGTGAATAAATATATAACTAACACTTGGGTAACAAATTTGGCAGCTGTAGACATCAGCAACTACCAGCTAACAGAATAATAAAAAAAAAAACACATAATAGTAATGATGAAAATTAGCTTCACGCCATGACACCAATCAAGTCACTGAGTCAATATCTGAAAAAAGGGTGGTAATGGAGGGTAAGAACAAGATACCAGCCACTGTATGACAACTTGTAAACAACTAGGTGATTCATAGAGTTCCGATGATAACAACAGATACAGCCGAAGTTCTACAACCATCTCAACTGAAAAGGTGCTGCAGACTCGCAGTCTCAATAGATACGAGTCATCTCTACATTAGTCTAAGTTGCAACAATAGACATATTAACAGGCCTGATATCAGCTGAAAAAGCTTCTTAATTAAGTATTAGAGGGACAACTAGATAAGCTAAGGAATTAAGCTGGACAAGGTTTCTACTCATTAGTGGAATGGAAGCAGCCTACTTCTGATGTAATGCCGCAACATATGCAGTTCTTTCACCACACCAATCAACAAGTGCACGGTTAATCCTCCATATGAGCAGCAGATCCCATATAGGAAGCCTGGCCAAGATACAAAGACAAAGACAAAGTTGGTGAACAATTTAGTTCGAATTATATATACATGTAATGACCAATGAAGAAAATAAGTCAACAACATGTTGAAAGAGGGTAAGATTATGCCCTTGCTTAAAGCCAGTTACTGCATGCATAAATCATAATACATAAAAAGAAAACCTGTAACCAAAATAGTTAGTACTAAAGTCTAAACACATAAGGAATAGTTCTTTCCCATCTTTAATTTGCCACCATCCAAATATATAATGCATGACTTGCAAGATTCATCACAAAAAGATTAATCAGATATGAATAACATTGGTGAGACAACAAACACTCTACTCTTCCCCTCTCCCTGTTCCTAAATCAAGCTGGACAAAAAGGTTTTCAATAAAAATTTGATTTTATGATTTACAGAAGATAAGCAGATTGCTCAAAGCCAATATATATAATTCCCTTTGGGTCAGATGAGTCTAGAAAAGTCCCTACCTTCTCAAGCAAGATCTTGATTTCAGCATGTTGCTCCTTCATTGCTTTGTTAAGTGGCTCCAACTTCAAGGCATAATCAATATCCTCCATAGATCCTTCAAGATTACCAAGTTCTTTCCTAGCAATTGCTCTGCGTGCATACACTTTAAAATACTCGCCGTGCAATTTCAAGGACTCAGTGCAGTCATCCTCGGCCTCCCGGAATCTGCAGACCTTGAGGTATGCCAATGCTCTGTTTGCATAAGCGAATGCAGTACGTGACAGTGCAATGCTTCTGGAATAGCAATTTATAGCTTCATCAAATTTCTTGTTCTTAAAGAGTTCATTGCCCTCCTCTTTCGCATAGGCAGCATCTGCAAAAAGCCACCAAGGTTTTCAAATCATAAGGACATCAGTAAAATAACTAGGCAAAATAAGGAGGGAAGGTGGAGTAGAGGAAAGCAAATCTTATAATGACATAACATTTGTGGTATACCTAGGTCTGGCAAAACAAGAATTCATACAAACCACAATCGCTTCACATAGGGTTGTCATTAAGTGCACAATATGCTTCCCCGAGATTAAAAAAATAAAAAGTTCATGTAAACTAACAAGAGCATTCTGAATATGCCACTCCCAAAATCTATCGTCGGATAGGGAACTAAAGAAAACACAGCACAGAAATAGATTATCAACAGAATATGTTCATGAGGCAAGACAATAGCTACAAGATAACCAACCAAGAATCAGTTTTAAGAGAAGCACAAAACAATGAGACAAAAGTTTCTTTGTGCCAATTCCTGATAGGGTTGCTCAATCACCGAAGCAAAGTAGCTATTGCACATAAAAGAGAGAAGTTCCCATTCAACTTTCTGAGACAAGCTTAGATATTATCAATCATAAATTTCTTCTTAAAATAAAGATTGGAGGTTTTGAGTCGCGATTAAAGAGAATAATGCAGAAATTCTGATGTATGAAACTACAACTTCAAGGTAAACAAAAGGTCAAAGAAGGAACTTAGGTACTGCAGAAGCTCCAGTAAGACAAGCTAAATCTTGGTGGGATGAAGTGATTATTAAATGAAAAATATAAAAGTAAGTTGCAAGGAGGGAAGTGGAACAATATCAGAGATGGCTTAGCCTCACATTTGATAGGAGAAGATACAAAATGCGCAAGTAAGACAGAACAAATGATCATTCCTAGAAATTGCTCTGGAAGAAACACAAGGTGCACAAGTTCAACAAACAAATAACCATTATTTAAAGAGGTAATGATAGAACAAGCCTAGAAGCATAGGGTTCAAACATATATTAATATAAAACAACGATGTCATCACAACACCTAAATTCAAGCTCATATAGTGCATTGTGGTGATATACCATCAGTTGCAACTTGCAACACAAAAAACATCCGGCCCAAGACTAGTCACTTTGTAAAGAAAGCTCCCACACAATACCACTTGAATACTAATTACTAAGTACTTATTGCAATGAATTACTTAAAGCACAGCATCAACATAAAGTTTGTATTCAAAGAATAGTTGACAAGTCCAATATAGACTCTAACCTCAAAAATGGATAGACCATATGGCACGTATAATACAGAGATATCACCACACTATTCTATGAACTGGCTAGAGCATTAACGAGCACTTGAGTTGAGCTAATGATAGAGCAAGCCTAGAAGCATAGTGTCCAGCCATATTATAACACATCGATGTCATCACGCGACCTAACTTCTAGCTCATATAGTACATTGTTGTGATATACCATCAGTTGGACAGTTGCAGCTTTAAAAACATCTGGCCCAAGACTAGTTATTTGTAAGAAAGCTCCCACATTGAATACAAGGTACTTATTGCAACGGATTACTTAAAGCACAACATTAAATGCAACATAAAGTTTGTGATTAGAGAATAGTTTACAAGTTCAATATTGCATCTAATAAACCTTGAAGATGGATAGACATAACGCAAGTATGATACAGAGATATCACAACACTATTCTACGAACAGGCTAGAGCTAATGAAACATTGAAAGAGCCACTTACACAACCGGGGAGGAAGCAAAGTTGGCCAACACGGGAGCACAAATGGGATAACATACTTATGTCCAGTGAAGCTAGCATCAGCCTCCACCTTTTGAGTCTGAAGATTATAGGAAAAGATTCGATCTTCCGTGCTAAAGAAGACTATATCAACATCAAAAGGATGGATGAAACAAGGCCGGGGCAGTGACTTATCCACACCACAACAAAGAACACACTCAACATCCACACGAGACAAATTGTACACCAAATTCCATTCATTCACACCAGATTCAAAATCTTTTAACCTCCACAACGTCAACACATAATCTCCTTTTCTAAACATCTCCATATAGTGAATATACCCTCCAGCCCCGAAAATGTCCCGTTCATCCTCCAATTTCAGAGTATTAAAGGGCTTCCTACACCCCTTAGGAAGCGGAATAAACCGACATCGAGCCATCTCCTTCTCCTCCTCAACACCGCGAAAAGGGTCATCATCATCCCAAGTAATCACCCCACAACTTAAATCAACCCAAAAGAAACGTCCAGCAAACTCAAACACCCCTTCAGCCCTCCAAAAATGCATCCCAAGCATATAACTAGCAGGTTTATCAACCCATTTGCCGGTATCCGACGAAAAGCACAATAAAGAACCAGAATCACTCCCAACAATGGGCTGATACTCGACAACAATAAACTTCTCCACAACCCCATTACAAGAACAATCAAGCCTTGACATGAACCCTACAGAATTCAGCTTATTTATCGAGTCCTCGGGTTTCGGAAGTGGGACCCACTCACCGGTTACTGGGTTTATGACAACCAAAACAAAATCCGTTTTGCGATGAGAAAATTGATTCGGGTTTTTCTCAAAGGGATCTCTTTCGATATGAAACGAAAACAGAAGCAACCCATTGCTAGAAGCTACAATTACAGGTGGGTTTTTGGTAGGTTTCCACTCACTAGTAACTGGTTCGTAAATTAAACGATGATGATTTGCAGAAAGTGATGAAATGTTAGGGTTTTGAGCTGGGTTGAACTGAGTTACCTTCTCTTTTGACTCGGTGACAAATCGATCAACGATAATCCATGAAGATGAAGATGAGTTGTGAACAATGTAGGAAGTGACGAAATGGGGATCACAGATTAAGGATTTCCAGGTTTTTGAAACACATTTGAATCGACAAACGGATTGTGCGGGTAATCGGGTTAAGATTTCTGTGATTATTTCACTGGGAAATTGAGCCGGAAATTTTTTGATCCGACATTTTTAAATTTTCGGGTTAAATTTCAGATTTTTCTGTATTTTTACAGAATAGAAGAAGAGAGAACCTGAGTATTAATGGAGTCTGTAAATAGAAAACATAACTGCTGATGTCATGTATGTACACATGTCTCTTTCTGGAACATTTTTTCGCGCCAAAATAATTAACTTGAGTTACGATGATAATTGATATGTGATGTTCGATTGTTCATTGGGCCCTTCACCCTTGTGTCTAGCAAGGCTCACTAGTTATTATGGTTATTTAATTGGGCACATCCTAAGTTTACATTTCCATGAAATTTACTTGCGTGTCTAAGTCAAATTTCAATTACTTTTACGTTATTTTGTCATATTAGGTAATGCTTTTAGGTGTTTAGTGAGCCATAAAGACGATAATGAGAATCGATCCACTTCTTTTTCAGTAAATGTGTTTATTGTTAATGCATTTTCTTACCTTACAAGATTCTAATTACAGTACCTTATCTTACATACGCCATTGTACTCCTCCGTGTGACCAATCACAACTCGACTCCTATACTCCCAAATTTATTGCACGTAGTTACTTTGTAGCTCGATGTACTAGAAGCTCAATTAGCTTAGCTTGCACTTGGGGTTGCAATCTTCTTTCACTCTTCTATATAAAAGGGGTTACTAGTAGGCAAAACAAATACTACTCGTAGTACTAACAATACGAGTACACACAAGTTCTTGAGCGGCTAAGTGAGGTGACTAAGGCCAAGGCAGCAGTGCAGCACGTTCGTGTGCCATGACCAGTTCCACCTTGTGTTATAGAGAAATGAAACCAAGAGTGAATACTTGTGAGGATATTGATATCGAACCGAAGACAGGAGCACCATTCTTCCATATCATTCTTACTAAGACGCATGTTTGTCCTCGCTATCTATTGGTATGTTTTTCTTTTATCTCTTTCAATTTACTAGAATATAGGTAGATAAATAATGCAATAATGGTCCATTTTATTACGTTATTGAGAAGTTTCTTTGATTACATCAATATCAGACAATACCGGCTGAAGGTGCTCGAATCCTTCCTGACATCGAAGTCCCGATGATCCTCACTCGTGGCACTAAGAGTTGGAGGATGAACTACATCGGTAAAAATGTAGTACATAAAAGGTTCGATAATAGATGGAAACAATTTGTTGTTGACAACAAACTTAAGGTAGGAGATATTTGTACTTTCGAGCTCATGTCGAAAGATCCAATGAGGTTAAAGGTTCAGGTTCTTCGAGGTGACTTTCCGGCTGCTCTACTCAAAAGCGGCGAAGAAGAAGATAAAGAATGCAAAGAAGAAGAAGAAGGAGGAGGAGGAGGAGGAGATACAAGCTATAATCCTATAGTTGTTGAGTAAGAGAAGGAAAATTTGTTAATTACTACCTACAAAAAACAGATTTTGTGAATTACTACCTATAAAAAAAAAGTTTGTCAATTACTACCTAATTTTTTTTTTTTTTTGTGAATTGCTACCTTTTCCTTAATCTGCCCCTAATTAAGTGATTTAAACTCTTAATGACATTATTATCCAGCCAAATTGTAATCAGTTAAAAAAAATATAAAAAAATGTAAAAATAAATATAAAATCAGAAAATAATAAAAAAAATTCAGAAAATTAATAAAAAAATTCAAAAAATTAATAAAAATTCAGAAAATTATTTTTAAAAATACGAAAAATTAATTAAAATTCAGAAAATTATAAAAAAAATCAGAAAAATATTTTATAAAATACAAAAAATTAATTAAAAATTCAGAAAATTATTTTTAAAAAAAATAAAATCAATTAAAAAAAATAAGAAAATTATTTTAAAAAATACGAAAAATTATTTAAAATTCAGAAAATTAAAAATAAAAATCAGAATATTATTTTAAAAAATCAGGAAATTAATAAAAAATTCAGAAAATTATACAAAAAATCAGAAAATTATTTTAAAAAATACAAAAAATTAATTAAAAATTCAGAAAATTAAAAATAAAAATCAGAAAATTATTTTTAAAAATTAGAAAATTAATAAAAAATTCAGAAAATTTAAAAAAATCAGAAAATTAAAAAAAAATCAGAAAATTATTTTAAAAAATACAAAAATTAATAAAAAAAAAAAAAACCGAACCCAGAACCCAGCCCCCCAGCCCGACACCCAGCTCACGCAACCCCCTCCCCTTAAAATCGCCAGAAACAACCACCATTGTCGCCGGAAAATGCCCCCTCCTCCTCGCCGACCAATTCCGCCACCTATTAAACCCAAACCCACCCTAATCGAAAACCCCTATATCGATTTAGGGATTTAGGGTTTCGAAACCACCCTAAATCGATATAGGGGTTCGATTAGGGTGGTTTTCTGGGTGGGTTTGGGTTTAATAGGGTGGCGGAATTGGCCAGCGAGGGGGAGGGGGCGTTTTCCGGGGAAAATGGTGGTTGTTTCCGGCGATTTTAAGGGGAGGTGGTTGCGTGGGCTGGGTGTCGGCTGGAGGGCTGGGTTCTGGGTTCGGTTTTTTTTTTTTAATTAATTTTTGTATTTTTTAAAATAATTTTCTAATTTTTTTTAAATTTTCTGAATTTTTTATTAATTTTCTGCTTTTTAAAAATAATTTTTCTGATTTTTAATTTTAATTTTCTGAATTTTTAATTAATTTTTCGTATTTTTTAAAATAATTTTCTGATTTTTTTTTTATAATTTTCTGAATTTTTTTATTAAATTTCTGATTTTTTAAAATAATTTTCTGATTTTATTTTTAATTTTCTGAATTTTTAATTAATTTTCCGTATTTTTTAAAATAATTTTCTGATTTTAATTTTTAATTTTCTGAATTTTTAATTAATTTTTCGTATTTTTTAAAATAATTTTCTGATTTTTTTATATTTTTCTGAATTTTTTATTAATTTCCTGATTTTTTAAAATAATATTCTGATTTTTATTTTTAATTTTCTGAATTTTAAATAATTTTTCGTATTTTTAAAAATAATTTTCTTATTTTTTTTAATTGATTTTCTTATTTTTTAAAATGATTTTCTGAATTTTTAATTAATTTTTTGTATTTTTTAAAATATTTTTCAGATTTTTTTTTTATAATTTTCTGAATTTTAATTAATTTTTCGTATTTTTAAAATAATTTTCTGAATTTTTATTAATTTTTTGAATTTTTTTTATTAATTTTCTGAATTTTTTTTTATTTTCTGATTTTATATTTATTTTTACATTTTTTTTTATTTTTTTATATTTTTTTTAACTGATTACAATTTGGCTGGATAATGATGTCATTAAGAGTTTAAATCACTTAATTAGGGGCAGATTAAGGAAAAGGTAGCAATTCACAAAAAAAATAAAAATAAATTAGGTAGTAATTGACAAACTTTTTTTTTATAGGTAGTAATTCACAAAATCTGTTTTTTGTAGGTAGTAATTAACAAATTTTCCGTAAGAGAACTATATATTATAGGTTCAATCTTGTTTATTTCTTATTAGTTTATTAGATGTAGTTTGCAGAATAATTTCGATGCTTTTAGGGAGCATTAAAATATGTACTATTCCCTCCATCTCAATTTATTTGCTCCATTGGATTATTTACGGTCTCCAACACGTGTTTTAAGACGTAAATATCTCGATTTTCATATGCGTAAAAATTATAAAAACTTGATATTTAAAAAGTATACAATGAGACGAATCAAACAAGATCCCTCTTAACTATATTATCATTATAAATTAATGAAAATTTATGGTCAAAGATTTTAAAGTTTGACCCCGATTTTTGCTATGGGACAAATAAATAGAAACATAGGGAGTACGTATTTCGAATTAAGATGTGATTATTGAATTTTAAAACAGGGTCAATGTTCTTATTACTAGAGCTCGTTGATTATTATTAGCTAAAGTAATTATATTAGCTATGTGCTGATAATAATATCAAGACACATACCTATGTCTTATTCCTACAGTCTCTCGCTTTTATCATTTTTTTTTGTCAGTATGCATTATAATGGAGTCTGTAAATAAAAATATAAATTGCTAATATCATATTTGTACATGTGTCTCTTTCTGGAACTTTTTTTTTTCCTACGTATATAGTTGTATGTTATCACCCTTATTGGAATAATTTCGATATATTTTTTAAGTTTTTCCTCCATTTTAATAATTAAAACATTTTTTTTACGTCTATTTTAAAATAATTTCAGCACTTTTTATTTGGTGAGGATAAACTATTATTTGATTACTTCTCATCTCTCCTTAATCACATTCGACAAATATTTCATTATCTTCCCCTCCTACAAACCCTACTCAGTCCCGATACCTTAAAAAATACTTACCTTCTTTTTTTTTACACGTATTTTTTTTAGGAAGTTTATTTTTAGTTGACATGTTTCCTTTTGAAGTAAGTTTTACACCTTGTTTTTTTAGTGTACCCCACCTGCTTTATCATTCTCTCTCATATCCTTAATATGCCTGCCTAAATTAAACGTATCAACTAAATAGAAACAGAGGAAGTAATATTCAGTAAAAATCTGTAACTTTAAAGAAAAAAAATATTATAGAGAATCAATAAAAATAATTTGAGTTACAAGATGAAGTGAATAGATCTTACACTACTTTTTTTTTAATTCTTTCTCTCTCCTACTAATTATAATTTATACGAAATATTATGAAAAATATTTATTTCGTATTGTATACTTTTGGCCATCAACATATATTTTTTCAAAAACTTCGTATATATCCTAATATTGCGATTATTATAGAATTGATGGAAATTGATAAGAGTATAACTTTTGTTAACCCAAAATTGTAGACTTTGAAGTCCCTCTCTCTTTTCGTAAGTGTAGGTGTGGAAAAAGTTTGCCAAATGCGGACTACGAAGTAAAATTGACAATACATTAGTCATTGAATTCTTGTAGACTTGTAGAGTTGTAGTGCATCCGTTTGACGGTCAATATCATTACATTATTAGACACCGAGGAATTCAATTCAACAAATACGGAGCTCAAAACATTCCCTTCTTCTCACCGGACTCAACCACAGAACCTCCGACCACCGGCTCTCTTTTACGGCGTTGGCATACAACCCCACTACTTTGATTCTTCTTCCTCCTTTTCAAGTGTTAGTTCAAATTTCTTTTTACTTTTTAAATTATTGTCAATCAAATTTGAATGTATCTTTGTTACATTTATGCAGTTTTTGTTTAATCTGATTCTAACAAGTACAACATTCTTAAATTAATCTTGTTGTTTATAGTTAAATTTAAGAGAATTTTGTTTGATTGCACAGACAAATGAGAATTTTTGTAAAGTAAAAAACAATAATTCTTAAAAGGAGTTTGAGAGTGGTAATAATGTACAATATTTCCCTTTTTAAAGTGATATTAGATCAATTTGTTGTAATTCGTAATTTGGTTTTGCTAATTGTGATAAATTAATATTTAGCTAGTCTACTTGCTTCAAAGACTAAGTATTGATCTTTGATCCTGTCTTTGGCTATTACAAGTGTGGTATAAAGGATAAAAGATGATTATATCATCATTATCATTATTAGTTATTGTTTAGAATATGTAAATCTCTCGATTTACTCTTTAATTTTGAAAGTCTAAGTATATCCCTTATAATTAGCTAACGTACCTAGTCATATATTGTATCTAGTCATAGTTTGGTATGTTCAATATTCTAATTTTGTACTATATATACTCGTGTATATTCATCAATATAGTTAAGCTTTCCAACATTCTCTTTCTCATAACTCTATCATGGTATCAAGAGTTTTTGATTCATATTTTCTTGCTTCCGCTACTACCATAGTTACACTGTTAAAACCCTTTGCCGACGCCGACAAATGATGGTGACCATATCAAACTTCCTTCTCGAAAAGCTTTAAACCAAAATCACACTTTTCGTTCAACTCTTTTGACACCCCGTATTTCATGTACCAAGAGATGTCATATATAACTTTTTTTTTTTCTCCAAACCCCTTACACGGAGAAACAATCCTTTTTCGGTATCCCGTAGTTTACCTACCATGTGTTATCATATATGAAATTCTCTCTACAAAACCATTATGGAGAAACATAACATTCCGTTCTAAACCACCAGCACCACCACCACCACCATTATAATTTTTTTTATCTCGCCTTCAAAGGTGGTGAAGGAACCTCTATATTTTTTTTTCTCCCATTTGTTGCAAGCATACGCTAGCAAATTTCTTTTTTTTTTTTTATTTTTAATTATACAATCGATGGTTCATGTGTTTAAAAACCGTGAAAAACACTCATTCACAAACAACTTCTTATTCTCTCTCTATATACTATCTTTTTACTCTTCATGCAACTCCTCCACCCAAAAAAAAAAACCTCTAATGCTCCACTCCCTCCAAACCTTATTGGAGAATCACAATGCAGTGCAACCTTTCTTACCACCACTTCAGTTCCTACATTGAACAAGATTTGAGATGTTATATCCAAGATCGGTCTCTCGTTCCGGACGTCCGTCTTGCGGGGACGTATAAAGGATAAAGATGATTACATCATCATATCATTATTAGTTATTGTTCAGAATATGTAAATCCCTTGATTTACTCCTTAATTTTGAAAGTCTAAGTATATCCCTTATAATTAGCTAACGTACCTAGTCATATATTGTATCTAGTCATAGTTTGGTATGTTCAATGTTCTAATCTTGTAATATATATACTCGTGTATATTCATCAATATAATTAAGCTTTCCAACATTATCTTTCTCATAACTCTATCATGTGGAAGAAAGAACAAGTTGCAATAGTAGTGGGAAATCAAATACTATTGAATGACAAATTGGTTACTCCAATTGAAAATGATCTTTTCTTGCAAGTTAGTGACATATATTGTGATGATTTATGTGAAGAGCAAGTTGTAATATAAAATGCGCGATTGGATGATAAATTGGTTACTCCAATTGAGAACGATCTTTTCTTGCAAGTTAGCTATGATAATGATTTGAGATGCTTTCAAATTATGGACTCACATTAAGCATAGTTTTAATCTTGTACTACTAGATTTCATGTAATTTGCCCCCCTAGAATTGGTTGTAGTTCGAATTGTTGATTTGAGTACGTGTTTTATCTTATTTGCACCCCTTCGCTCTAACTCTTGAATTGGTCGACAAAATTGATGATCATTTTCCCAAGCTCAACTTAATGTGTAATTTGTCAGAATGGGTCAAATTGATTGTTTATTAGAGGGTGCGTGACTCTAGAGCGTCTGGATTTAAGAGTGACTTAAACTACGTGTAGGAAGAGAGAGGCGTTTGTGATTTGTTTTGCTTCATTTCAATACTACAAAGTGCAAACTAGTGACTTTAAACAACTTTGCTTTTGTTATTTTGTTAATCTTTCCTTGAGTAAGAAGTGATCTCTTATACTTATGTATTCCAGCAGCTACTCTGCTAATGTTTAGTATTGCTCTGATATAATAGGTATCTCTTATATGAATGTTTTGATTCTTGATATGTATGGAACTTTTTGTATTATGAAGAGATATGAACGAGGAGCAGCAGCTTGATCCTGTATCTATAGATACCGAAGAGGATGAAGAAATTGAGCCACTTTCGGGCAATCCCATGTTTCATGTAACTCTTTACAAATCACACGTCAGTAGTCCATATCAAATGGTAGGATTTTCTTCTTACTCTCTTACGTTTCATTAATGTATGGAGTTGTGGATTTAAAGAACAATATAGCGATTTATAGTTTCATTCTTATCTTCATGATTAAGGTTAGATTCATTCACTAGATGGCTCATAGAAATTTGGTGCATAAATGAACTTTTACGTTTTTTGCTATCATTGTGACTTTTTGAGGTAGCATTGATGATACACACAACACTACAACACCTGCTTATTGACCTCTCACTTTTTGTCACACTCTCATAGTTAAAGCTCTTAAAATTACTTCATCAGCTATTTGCGGGCTTTCCCTCTCGAGTCTAAATGAAATCTCTTGTTGTCAAACAACGTATACATAGTTAGCTTGCATACAATCCTTACAAGGATGCCACACTGAGTCGCTGACTATAATTTCTGATTGATTGATGACTTCAGACAATTCCTGCAGCAATTGCTCATATATTGCCCCATAAAACAGCCCCAGTTACCCTCACTCGTGGCAAAAAGAGTTGGGAAACAACTTATTTCGGCAGACATCCAACCCATAAAAGATTTGAATTAAGCTCGTGGAAAGAATTTGTTGTTGACAACAAACTCAGGGTTGGAGATGTTTGTATTTTTGAACGCATGACACTTGGTGATGAGGCTTTGAAACTCAAGGTTCAAGTTCTTCGAGGTGACTTTCCTTCTATTTTACTAGGAAATGACGGTACAAGTGATAACCCCATAGTTGTTGAGTGAAGATTATGATCAAGCTTCTTTAAGGTCTTGACTTAAATTTCTTAGCTTAGAAAGATTTGGCTTTTGAATAAGAAAGTATTCCAGTACTGTATTATAGGCTGAATTGGAGCATCCAGTTCATTGAGGTAAAGCACGTTGGCACCACCGGTCTGCGACATAGCTTGCTACGAGTCAATGACCTTAGCTTGGCCCGAAGATACATAGTAGTAGTGTAGTACTGCAAATTTGTAATATGGAGTTGATGTACTGTTATGTATATTGGATTATGTAGAGATTAAGGTTTTTCAAATGAAGGGAGTGTTATTATCAAAATTAGTTGATTATTGTGTTGGAGGCTTGGAGCTCATTGTTGTAAAATATATTTAAGCATACTAATGTTGTTAGCTGCTCTCTAGAAAAGTGTTGAGCAAATTAGTGGCAGTGAACACTACTCAAGGTAATTTGGTGTTAATTTTTTTTTTTTATTGTATTTTCCATTATTATTGGCAATTTGATGAATTGATCCTCATAGGCTAATTATAATATGTATGAGTCATTCAGTTGAAATTATCCTAAGTTTTAATTAAAAAAAAAAAAAAAAAAAAAAAAAAAAAGAAAGAAAGATAAATAGTTATGTACAAATTTTCATAGCTAGTAAACAAGCTAAGAATGGTCATTCTTATCAATTTGTCATCGGTTAAAACAAGTTTAAACAAAGCAATATTCAAAAGCGTAATTTTATGGTACTTCCTTTGATTTCTTTTAAATGCAATACGACTTCTCATTTCACGCTTACTAATGTGTTATTTCAATAATAAATATCTTTTATTACTAATATGGAAAAAATTTAAAAATTTGATATTATTAATAAACTATAAAGCAAGACGGATTTAACAAGATTCCACATGATTATATTTTTTCTTAACCATAAATCAACAAAGCCCGTCAAAGTAGAGTATATGAAATTATAAATAGTGTAAAAGTCAAAGTGTTGTATTTAAAAGAGAATGAAGGAAATATAAATTAAACTAATACTATATGATAAACTATGTAAAGATTTAATTATTAAGATAGGTATCTTGGCAATGTCCATTGATAAGTAAAGAACACAAAAGTTTACATAGGCATTAATAATTTTTTAAAAAATGTTCTTAAATCAACAATCAACTTAGTTTACAAAAGAAATTGTACAGTTATAAAATCAAATTTAGGTGATAATGTGACAAGGCTTTGTTTTGTGTGGAATACATTTTTTTTTTCATGTATTTCTAATTAAGGAAAATGCTATACATAGCCCTCATGGTTACATATAAGCATTAAATTTACACTAGAAAATCGTATAAATTTAGGAAATCATAATAATATAAACATTAATTACACTGATTTGCGCGTGTTTTTGTCATGAATTCCTAATTTTATATAATTTTCAAGAGTGCATTTAATTCTTATATGTAGCCCTTAGGACTACATATTGCAAATTTGAACGCCTTTTAATTTCGTAAGAGTATACTACTTTTTGTACTCCGTAATTCGTATTACTTCTCTCCCTTTAACAATTCAAGAGTTAGAGCGAAGGAAAAATTGTCAAAGTGAGCTTTTAATAGAAACAATTTTCCAAAGTAGATGTATGGTAAAACTATTTACCAAACTAAGCTTCTAGGGTAAAACGCCAATCAGGCTGGCGTTTTTAACCTGGCCAATTTTTTTAAAAAAAAAAAATCAGTCAAGGCAAAAGCGCCATCCAGGGTGGCGTTTTTACCCTGACTGAAATTTTTAAAAAATTGGTCAAGGTAAAAACGCCAGCCTGGTTGGCGTTTTACCGTTGTACTAAAAACGCCAGCGTGGTTGGCGTTTTTGTATTGGGTATTTCAGGCAGTGTAATGTTATTTTTTTTCATTGTTCTTCAAGAAAACGAAAAGCCCCAATTTCCAAACCCTAACCCGCGCCACATTGCTCGCCCAATCCTTCATATTTGCAGCAAATTCATCACATCCTATTGCTTAGAACTTCATCATACTCACTAAAAATTATTCCTCCTTCTTTGTTTAACACTTTTACACAGTAAATTGATCGTATTTGAGGTATATATTGAACTTAACTATTTTACTTGTTTATGATGTTTTTTGGGAATTTATGTTTGTAATTTACAATGGTTACTATATTGTTGTTCAAGTATGCGAAATAAGTATAACTACATAATACATTGTTGTTTAATTATTGAAATTAAGTATATATATATGTATGTTGTTTAATTTCAAATCATGTATACGAAGCATACATTATTCTTCATACTTAGTGTGTAAATTTTAAGTATGTTTACGAACTACATTGTTGAATTAGGTACATTTAAATATATACTACATTGTTGATTAACTAGGTAAATAAGTACATTGTTGAACACTACGTTGTATATACGCTTAGCTTGAGGATTTAATGGAATCATTGTGATTTTAGTTGTGTTGTGTATTTGTGTCATCTAATATGTGTTCCGATTGTTATGTAGAACATGGCTTCACAGTTGATTGTTTTGTTATGCCGTTGGGGGGGGGGTGAAATTTTGTGTGTCGAATCGAACGTCGAGTATAGAGGAGGAAAAATGGAACCGTTGGCATTGAAACCTTGTATGACTTACAATGATTTGTTGAAGAAGGTTTATACTGTAACTGGTTCAAACCCAACGAATGTTGAACTGAACATTAAAATGAGGTTTAATTGAGAGTGTTAGTGGGATTCAAATCTTACCTGTATTAAATGATGACCATTTGGAGGTTTTGAGGGGTGTTCTTGCAATGAGGTCTCTTCCCATTGATTTGTATGCGGAAATGGTGCCTATATGTACTCAATAGACTATTCGATTGATAGAGTAACAACCTACATATCTTCCCTCATACAATACAAGCTCGTTACAAATGCCCTCATACAACATTCCGTCATTTGAATATGGAATGAGATCTTTCAGTAGAATGTTACACGACGATCAATTTTCATCACCGATGTCAATGTTGCAGCAACCTAATCCATCTACCTCAAACAATGACATTTCATCACCTATGCAGTTGCATAGTTACTCTCCTACGCAAGAACATGTTCAAGCAACACCGTCTCAAACTTTGGTGACTGTTGAACCTGTTGTAAACAACAAATTGTCTGTTCTTGATATGTATGAGGATTGAAACGATGAGGGTGAGGACGGATATGAGGAAGATGTTATAAACAACGAATTGTCTGTTAATGATGTTGTGGCTAGAACTCCATTGCCTTGGTTCACTCAAATAAACGAGAACTATGAGGTGGACATGTATTGGGCTGATTCGGGGAGCCAGACTTCGTTTGTTGTCGGGGGAGAATTTGAGAAGGGCATGATTTTTGACAGTAAGAAAGTGCTCCGGGAAATGGTGAAATTGTATTCCATAGAACGAAATCAGTTCTACACCACGGTGACATCGAATGAGACTGTCCTTCATCTTAAATGCAAGAGGGAGTGTGGTTGGTCGCTACGTGATACAAAAACAAATCTGAACACACATGCCTTTAAGATCGTATCTTACAAGGGCCCATCGTGAGAACTGCGTGAATGAAGTTTCGCCCAGAGATCACCGACACTTGGACTCCTCCATAATCTGTGACTATGTGAAGTCGTTTGTGCAGAAAGATCTATGTTTGAGAGTTGAATTCATACAACATCTCATTTCCAACAAATTTCAATTCGATGTTCCCTATCAAAGAGCGTGGTATGCCAAACAAAAAGCTATTGCGGAAATTTTTGGGGATTGGGAGAGTTCGTACAACAGACTTCCTTTTTTCAAGCAAGCCCTCCAAGAGTCAAACCCGGGCACCGTAGTTTTATGGAAATACAAAGCTATTGCTGAAGGCGTTTACTACAGCAACATGGAGGTGTTTGAACGAGTATTTTGGGCCTTCAAGCCTTGCATCGATGGGTTTAAACATTACATGCGTGTTCTCTCTATCGACGGGACAGACTTGTATGGGAAATATAAAGGCACACTTTTGGTTGCTACAAGTGTTGATGCTAATTTTTCAGGTATTTCCTCTAGCATTTGCAATAGTTGAAGGGGAAAACTCCTCCAGTTGGTCTTGGTTTCTAAGCTGCATTCGGGTTCATGTTACTGATCGAGATGGCCTATGTGTTATATCTGACTGACATGCTGGGATTATTGCTGCAATGACTGACACGAATGTTGGATTTCATGAGCCACGGGCCTCTCACAGGTTTTGCGTTCGACACATGGCCTCTAACTTGAGGACTTATGTGAAGAACAACAACATGAGAGATAGGTTCAAGGCTGCTGCTTACCAACGTAAAGAAAAAAAATTTGATGAAGATATACGTTCCATCGGTGAATCTTGTGTTAAGTCCCTAGAGTACATTATGGATGTGTCGTTTCGCAGGTGGTCCTTGTTTCATGACGCTGGTCGTAGGTATGAAATATATACTACAAATTTCTCAGAGACATTTAACAATGTATTGAAGGGAGCTCATTTTCTGCCGATCATGTCCCTATTCGAGTTAACTTTCCACTGAGTTAACAAGTATTTTAATATAAGAAGGGATAGTTCACTTGCTAAGCGTGTCGAGGAATATGCATACTCACCTAAGGTCACTTCCATTTTGGAGAAGAATAACGGAAAAGCAAAATACCATACAATGGATGTTTATAGCCGTCAGCTTGGTATATACCAAGTAAAAACACCCCGGGGAGAGAGGGTAGGCAGAAAAGGAGGTCATAAGCATACCGTTAACTTTAATTTGAGAACATGTACATGCAACAAGCCTATGATATTTCACCTACCGTGTTCTCATGTTCTAGCCGTGTGTCTTAAGTATTCAATTTTTTGAGGAACCATGGGTGGACAGTTTTCTACGATCAGAGGCATATGCAAATATGTATGCCCCACAATTCTAGCCTATTCCTTGTGAGACGACGTGGAATACATACAGAGGGCCTAAAATCATTCCTGATGAGAGCATGGTCCGAGGACATGGTCGGACAAAGTTGAAGCGTATACGAAATGATATGGATGAGACTAACTGTCCACCAAGCAAATGTGGTCGTTGTCATCAGGAAGGACACAATAAGAGAACTTATCCGTTTCGAACGGGCTGTGACTGGTATTGGTCTTAGTTTATGTCTTATTTTAATACCATGTTGTGTGAACCATGTTTTCACTTAGGATGTAGCTGATTTCTTGTTTTACATTGTGCAATGAACAGATATCATGGAGGGAAACGATCAGGGACCGCCACGAGCTGACCCAGGACCAGCTGACCCTTCTGTCCTGACACTTCAGGACACCCATCGGAGCCATGATATATGGGAGCAGTCAGTAAGTTTTCATCTACCAAACCTTTATTTTTATTTTTTTGCAATTTTTATGTTAATTGATCTAATAATGTAATTTTGTGGGTTGTACAGGTTGATCCAGCATGGTGCTTGCTTTGCAGGCACCATGTTGACAGGGCGGTGGAAGATTGGGTCGTCGACCCGCGTGTACTACATTACATCGATTTTGTGGGTTTTCGCGGATTTTATAGGATGGCCTTCACACCTATAGATCGAGTGCTAATTACTGCGCTCGTTGAGAGATGGAGACAGGTGACTCACTCCTTCCATCTACCAGTTAGGGAGGCCAACGTCATGCTCCGAGATGTGGCGATACTGACATAACTCCCAATACGTGGTAGGGCAGTGACATGACCCATTATACTGGACCCTCGTGGCCTTGTTG